ACTTTGGAAGGTTTCCCAGATGAGGTGAGAGTGTGGTCGGACCAGCATATACTCGCACTTGCTGAGGAGCTTGTTCCGCGTGCCAGTGCTCAGGTACTGATCAACACGATCCTCCTCCTCCTTCAGGCAACTGTCCTACCTTTTTCAGGTAGTCCAACAAATTCCCCCTTGAAAGGAATAGCTGGGACTCCGGCTCATAATACTTTCTCCGTTTCATTCAGGAAAGGCGTCTCCAGATCAGCCTCGTAGATATAACTGCCAAAGAAAACGAATGAATCGACCACTGTTTTCACAAGGCTCTGATCGATCGTCTCGCCATCTCGTTGACGATTGATCAATGAGAGGATAACATTGCAAAGTGTCTTGTGGAGGTGGGAAATAAGGATGCCTTTCCACTTCCTGAGTGCCATCTGTGAGTGGCAATGCGTGTCGATGATGATCCGTGTGAAGAATAGGGGGACGCACAGTGTATACCGAAAAACACTCTTCTCTGATCTTCTTCTTCCTCATGAATATTAGAGTCGTTTTCGGTGTTGGAAAATATTTGGTTTATTATGTTAGCACCTGTTGAATATCTGTTCCATGCATTGGCATAGTGCCGCAGGAGGGCTTCATCTTGGAGGCTATCGCATTGCTGTAGGCAAGGATTCGGTTGATTGCTCGTTAAATTGGAGCAAGTGAACATACATCCTTGAGAAGCTCGAACGCGATTGATAAAATATTCAATGACGTTGCCGTACAGTTCTGGGCAGCCCACGATGACCGATTCACCAGCCCCTTGTTGTTGCTAAGAAGTCAATCTGCAGGCCATCTTGTGTATTCACCACAGGCTAACGACACTTACTTGAGCTGAAAACATAATCGTGATAAGGCGAATAGGCTGAACAGTAGTCGTATGCCGCTGTATAGAGACGCTTCTATCATCAGGGGAGACGCTCTCGTCTGTGGTCATAATGTGGTCCATTCGCTGCTTGATGAAGGTCCATGTTGTTTTAAAGTCTGCAGTGGTAGGCGATTCGGGAGGAGTTATATTGGCTGGTGCGTTTGAGAATGACATGATGATGGTTGACGCAGTGAGTGGTTGGCGAGTGAGGCTGGCAAAGTCATTGGAGGTCACTAGACCAGTCTCTTGGCGCTGTCTGTGTCACAACTTACAAACAAACATGTTTCACCACGTTTCAATCGATCTTTAAATTGGCTATCTAAATATCTGATCCATTAGGTGGATGTGAAGACACCTGGGGTCGTGCCATAGGACCTGCAGTCAGTGCTACAGGAGCGTGGTGTCAGGATTCCGAGTCGGTCACAAGTAACGGTTGAGAGGGCTCGTAATATGCCACTGGTGTAGGAATGCAATTTTTCACGCAACTATTGAAGTTACATTCAAGGACCAAGAACTTGCGCCAAGCTGTTGGAGGCATAAAAGTGTCGCACAAATGAACATGAAAGAAGTGTAAGTTTGAAGTTTGAATTTGAACTATATCACGGGCCGCTGTTGCTATAGCTAAATGGGGACCCAGTGGATCATGGTGAGGCAGGACCCCAAAACCACTGGGCAAGTGAAAATGACGCGGCCCTTGTCAGACCACCTCAACTGAAAAATGTCAGATCACCCTTATAATTCAATTGTCTACGCTGTCTGTCGCGAACTGAGCGAAAATTATTTGTACTAAGTGATGTACGATTTGTTGAATGCAACACGAGCAGATGAATTTGTGTGAAGTTATGTAACTTGACTTGCTACTCGAAAACCTACTACGGGGGCATGTCGGTACAACTCTGAAAAAGAACGTATTCTTCTCGGCTACGATAAAACCGTATCTTCGGCTTTCTCGTTTGACATACACGTACTATACATATGCAAATGTATCTGTGGCGCCGTCTATGCGCTCGATGTATTCGTCCTCCAAAAGTGTATTAATCACCTAAAAGTTGGATCAGCTGATACTCCAGAGACAAAATTTACAGGGCCCGACCTTCTTGATGTCAGGGATTTTAGGGGCGAATTGTTTTGAAATATGAGAAACCACCTCCTTAATCAAGGGTTGGATGCCCATCTGTTTGCGCTCCTTCATTATTCGAACAATGATAGCCTGAATCACATATTGCCGGTCTTCCTCAACAATTTTAAGCAGCTCCGAGCTCTCAGCCTTTACCTCAGTCTCGATAGGCTGGTTCAGGAGGACACGGAGTTTCTTTGACTTGAAGTCTGGTAGGGGTATATCAGCATCACGGAATGCGGAAAAGGAAGTGCGAAAAAGGGAGACACACTCAGGTTCAAATTGTATTGACCGACGTCCTCGTTTAGCAATATCTTGGCCGTCACCAGGAGCGCAAGCACCTGCAGTAAAATGTCCTTGCTGATACCCGTCGCGGTCATCAGCTCATCCAGTGATAACCTATCGTTTGTGTTGTATTGCAGGAGAACTGCCATTTGGTAAGAACTGGTCAGGAAGATGAGCTTCTGATTGAGGTAGTTCGCTCTCAGCTCGTTCGTCGAGTGATTCTAGAGCCAGGTGAGCTTGCGACCAGAATGCTTCGTCTGGTAGTACTTGGAGAAGCGGTCATACGGACGAAAGATTTCTGGAGGAATGATGAAACTGCTTGTGGCACTGAGAGGCCAGAAGTTCGTACCAAGAACCATGATCGAAAAGTTGATGTTCATGTCATCATAAATCTGCATGCGCTCATTGAACTCATCAGTAAGATCTTTACTGAGACTGATATCTACGCAGAACAAGTAAGTGATCCGGATCAAAAGGTGAGGTGCATTGAACAAACCTGTGAACATTCTCTGTAACTTGTTGATATACTTGAGTCCACAGACCTCCTTCAGCTTCGAAATCATGCTCGCCTCACTCTCGGTCGATGTAGATACATCGAGAAAGAGGCGCTTAGAGAATGCCACAGCATAGAACGTCTGGAATACGTCCTTATCCTCGATGTACTTGAAAAGCGCAACCTACACACACGAATCAGGATCAGACGCGGGATCATCAATCAAGGTGCTCACTACGTAGTTCAAAGCAACTCCAAGGTCCGACTTGGTCATCTTGTTATTTTTCGAAGTAGTGCATCTGCGTGCTTGGCTAGCAATTCTGGCGACTCTGTCGTTGACGAGCCCGTTGCAGCATTGCGATTGACGAACTCTATGCACGCCTTATTGAATGAAGCGACGAATCCAGCCTCTCTACAGAAGCTCCTCGTAACAGTTCCTTGTCGTGATGACAGGCGAGCGAACAGAGAGAGAGGGAGCTAGAACAGAAAGGTACGATCTCAGTTTCAACTTGAACTCTGTGTATATTAACGTGCAAAGTACCTAGAACAGAAAGGTACGCTATGCTTTGGTTAGCTAACGCTAACATACATGATTTTTTTAGGTACTTACATCTCAGTTTCAACTTGAACTGAGATGTGTGCATCTGACGGGCGCTTAGTTTTATAGTAGGTAAGTAAGGAACGAGGAGGGAAAATTTCTGACATATGTATATTGCAGGGCGCAGGCCGACGTCATTCGGGCGCAGCCTATTGGCCACTTTGGCTCATGCGCTCGGACCTGTTTCTCCCGCTCGTACCTAGCTGGATCCTTCGGCTTCCTCACTCTCTCCCTCATCGGATCGCTCGGACTTCAACACTCCCCCTCGAGCGCATGCCAGTCCCATATGGGTACGCAGCTTTTGGAGCCGGGGACGGGCCAATGCCTTGGTGAAGGCGTCGGCGACGTTGTCGTCCGTGGGACAATAGAGGAGCTCGAAGGTACCGTTCTTCACATGAGAACGAACGAAATGATACCTTAAGTCGATGTGTTTGGTGCGTGATTGGAACTTGCCGGTGGATGCTAATGCTATAGCGGCTTGATTATCACAGAATATGGGGGTGGGGAGGATCGGTGGCTCGTAAAGTTCGCCAAGGAGTAATTGAAGGTATAGTACCTCCCTCGCTACACTGGTTAAGGCGATATACTCAGCCTCTGCCATCGATAGGGCTATTATGGGCTGTTTTCGCGCGCTCCAGGACACTGGGCCTCCATTGAGGAGTACTATGTACCCACTCATGGAGTGCCTGTGTGGCTGCAAAGCCCAATCTGCGTCGACGAACGCTTCGATCCCGGCATCCGTGGATCCCAAGGTTGAGCTCGAAGTCGTCAGTGGCTTTTAGATAGCAAAGAGCTCGCTTACTAGCCTCCCAGTGTGCTTTCCCCGGGTTTTCGCATGAACTGCGACAATGTCGCGACCGCGAAGGCGATATCTGGACGCGTGCTCATGGCCGCATACATCAATGAGCCAATGGCTCGCTGGTAAGGTACATCACGCATGGCTTGGAGCTCAGTGTGCGTGCCTGGACACTGATCTATGGATAGGGAGGTGGCCGGTTCCATGGGTGTTTGCACACTCTTTGCATCGCCCAATCGGAAACGCTCGACGATAGTGTTGACATAGGCCTTTTGAGAGAGGGTAATGGTACGTGCCACTCGATCTCTAGTTACCTTTAGCCCTAATAACCATGATAGCTCGCCCAGGTTGGATATCTCGAAGAATTCGCGCAGGTTCGACTTGAACTGGAGGATGTGGGATTTGTGGTTGGCGGTGACGGCCATGTCATCAACTGACACGGTGATGACGATGTGCTCCTGGGGGGTACGTTTGAAATAGACTGCCTGATCGACCTGGGACCGACTAAAAACCCATCTTCTGAAAAGCTCCAGCCAGCTCCTCCGCCCATTCAAATCCTGCCTGCTTTAGGCCTGGTAAGCTTCGTCTTAGTTTTAGTACCTTGCCTCGCTGATCATCCTTTAGATATCCGGGAGGCACTCTCATATAGATGTTCCTCCTGGACGTCTGCATACAGGTAAGCACTTTTGACGTCTACCTGGTGGATCTCCCAGTCCTTCTGGGCGCCATGCTTAATACGGCACGTATAGTGCTCATATTTCGCCATCGGAGCAAACGTCTCGAAGAAGAAATCGACGCCGTATTGCTGTCTCTGTCCATTCGCAACGAGACGGGCTCTCAGCTTCAGCTTTTCGCCATCCGGGCCTCGCTTAGTAGCTAGCACGAAGTGGCAGGGGATGACGTTTACGCCACGAGGTAAGTCGACGATTGTCCCATGTTCCTAACTTCTCCAGCTGACTGATCTCATAGTCGAGCGCTTCTTGCCATTCTGGACCGTCCGGACCATTCAGAGCCTGCTTCAAAGTGGGCTCTGGCTCAGCTGCGGCTAACGCTAGGTGAATGTGAGCTTCCTCGTCTAGAAGGTCCAAGTCTGACGCATTTTGCAGGGATTCGATGCTTATAGCTGCCGTCTGGCCATTCTGGAGCTGGGCATAATAGCTTTTTGCTGGTCTGGCTCGGGTCTCACGAGGTTCTGGGGCGTCTGGAATGGGAGTGGGTTCTGGAGGAGTGGGAGTGGGATTTGGGGTAGCCGGGATGGGCTGGATGCTAGGTGCGTTGCTATTAGTCTTCCTCTCACCCATTGCTATTGACTCCCCCTCGTTCAGCACATCCTGGTCAACGAGGACATCCGGCGGCGCAAACGTCACGTTGCGCTCGACCGAGACACGTCTCTTCGCAGGCCAGTACACCCTATACGCCTTGCTATCGGTGTCGACACCGACGAAGACAGCCTCCTCCGCGCGGGGTTCGAGTTTTCCAGCATTCGCCTGGTGGACATACACCCTGGAGCTGAATTCATGGGCCATGGAGAGGTTGGGTTTCGTCCGATGGACAAGCTCATGAGGAGTAGCACCAGGTATCGCGGTTGACGGTAGGCGGTTCTTTAACCATGTAGCATAATTGATTGCTTCAGCCCACAGGAACTTGGGGAGATCGCGGCCGATGAGCATAGCTCTAGCGAGCTCGACCAGCGTTCTATTGAGACGCTCGGCGACCCCCGTTTTGCTGGGGTGAATCATGGACTGTAAGTTGTCTCTCAATTCCCTGGTCCAACAGATACTTATCGAATTCTGCACTCAAGTATTCCCCTCCACGGTCTGACCGAACCTTCCGGAGTCTGACTCCTGGATTCTGACGGCTAAGGTGCGCCTCATACCTCTTAAACGCCTCCAATGCCTCACCTTTTGTTTTCAGGAACTCGACCTTCGTTTCACGGGTGTAATCATCCGTGAAACTGATATAGTAGGTCGTCCCTCCTAGGCTAGTAGTCTGCGCTGGGCCCCACAAGTCCGTATGGACAAGTTCCGCGTAGGTGAGTGCTCGAGTTGTCGACTCTTGTGGAAAGGGTTGACGGATCGCTTTCGCTTTGGCACAGGCTTCGCAGAATTCGGTAGGGGAGGTGAGGTCGACATCCAGGCCCTCGACAAGCTGATCCTTCGCGAGTTGCAGGACCGCCCTCTGGGACACATGACCAAGGGCACAGTGCACCTCTGCCAAGGTAAGCTTCGTCCTGGTGACATGGGCATGATGCTCTTTCTGATTGACCACACTATATAGGCCTTCCAGTTGCGGGATCTCGGCGATAACTTCGCGTTTGGGTCCCTTGGACAAGATTTGACACATCTTGCCTTCAAATAGGACCGCTAATCCAGCAGAGGCGATGCGGTTGGTAGAAATGAGGGTGAATGCCATGGAGGGGGCATATAGCGCATCCTTCAGGGTCACACTGGTCTTGCTCTTCCCCAATGGTAAGTCTAGTTTGACGTCTCCTCTTCCAGTAGCGCTGAGAACCGATCCGTTCGCAGTGTATACGGCCTGGGGGGGTGATAGGGATGAAGTTTGTGAACTTCGACCTGTCAGGACAGAAGTGGGAGGTTGCGCCGGAGTCTACAATGGCTCCATGGCGTTCTGGAGGGATATTCATCCTCTGGGCGATGTTCGCAAGGTCAGTCGTCGCGAAGGCATAATTATCTTGGCCTTCTGACTCCTTTGCAGTGTTTGCACTCTGCTTTTGGGTACGTCCTCCCTTCTTCCCTCTCTGGTTTGGTCCCTGACCTTCTTTTCCGCCCCCTGGCCTCCAACAATTGCTTTTGTAGTGGCCCTTACGGTCGCAATTGTAGCATAGTGCGTCTGGATTGGATTGGGGTGAGGAGGAGGACGAGGATTTCGCCCTTCCGTTAGGAGCTCTCGCCGATAAGGCCGAGTTGGTGCCCTTCTTGGCAGGCCACTGACTGGTGAGTTGCCGGTGCTCGTATTCCTCTGACACGATATTGATTAACTCATAGGGGCTTATGGGTGAACCGGTAATCTTCGCAGCCGCGTTGATGGACGAGAGTAGGGGACGGTAGGATTCGGGGAGAGACGCCAGTATCATGGCATAGAAGTCTTTCTCCTTGATGGCAGCACCCATGCCGGCCAGGGACTTGCGGAGCCGAAGCATCTCGCTAAAGTGAGTCTTGACATCACCATTTTCCTCACACCTCGTCTCCTGAAGTCTTCGCCTCAGATCAATCTGGACGAGCTCGGTTTTTCCTTTGTGGATGTTGCAGATCTCGGCCCAGACATTTGATCCGGACCTGAGCTTCTGGACGCGCAACAACAGCCTATCCGTTATGGTGCTGAAGATTTGTTGCTTCACTAGTGAGTCCTTTTGATAGTACTCGTCCATTTTCTTTTCAAATGCCTCGATCTCTGCGTCCGCCACTTCGGTGCCATCATCCTCTTGAGGCAAGGAGATAGGGGCAGGTCGTACTGCGCGACCAGTGATATAGCGCATCAGACCTCTCGCACCGATTGCCATTAATGTTCTCTCCTTGTAGGTAATCCAGTTGCTGCCATCCTCGGCTAGCTTTGGGACGTTGAATAGGGCAGAGCTGGTGGAGGGGAGCGTGATATCCATGGCCGTGTCAGGGCTCATAACCTGTCGTGATGACAGGCGAGCGAACGGAGAGAGAGGGAGCTAGAACAGAAAGGTACGATCTCAGTTTTCAACTTGAACTCTGTGTATATTAACGTGCAAAGTACCTAGAACAGAAAGGTACGCTATGCTTTGGTTAGCTAACGCTAACATACATGATTTTTTTAGGTACTTACATCTCAGTTTCAACTTGAACTGAGATGTGTGCATCTGACGGTGTCTTAATAACCGAGGGTCTTATATGAAAACGTGTAAGAATGTAATGACACCACAATTACACTGGATAAGACTTCTTGCCAGTCCTCGATTAACACGGTCCTACGACTTTTCTTCTTTCGTGGTAGATAACGTGTGAGTTCTTGGGAGGCTCGCTAAACCAATCAGTCAGATTAACTTAGCCAGAGCTTTATTATCTCTGATTGAAACTATGGGATTGTCTAGGATATACCGTCTAGACACTTGAACTGGTTTCCTGAATATATGGTTAACTGTTGAGAAGCTGGTCTCAAATGTGACTACGTGGACCAAAGCTCGTGTTGGTCAATATACAAATACCTGGTGAGAACGCTGGTCTCACAAATAACAACAATGACAAATAAAAAAAACAATGACAAATAACAACAATGACAAATAACAACAATGACCAAAGCTCGTGTTGGTCAGTATACAAATACCTGGTGAGAACGCTGGTCTCACAAATAACAACGTTGACCAAAGCTCGTGTTGGTCAGTAAACACTACGTGGTGAGAACACTGGTCTCACAAAACTGGGTTTCTATCGTGAGAAACTTACGTAATCTCAAGGGAAACACTTTCCCTGCACTTGTCTGGACAGTTCTTACAAAGGAAATGGGCTTTGTAAGCAGCAATTTGTTCAGACTGAAGCTTCTTAGGTGAGAGTTCAATTTGCTCAAGTGGGAGTTCTTGAATGCAACAAGTGGGAGATCTATTTTGTTTGGGGAGAATGGGCTCTCCTTATATACATTTTGTGTGGGAATATTATGTAAGTAAAAAGGTGATGTAATGACTTCAGAATGTGAGAAGAATATTCCAAAAACTGGAGCAGAATGTTCTAGCAGGTGCAAAAGAACATTCCAGAATATTCATGGTGGGATAATGACATCATTCTGAGTCACTATGAGTCACTATGAGTCATTATGAGTCATTGGAATGTTCTAGCAAATTCCATGGAACATGACATCATTATGACATCACTATGATATCATATCTTTCAACCAAAATACCTGCAGGAGTGTAGGTGAAGTCCTATGACATCATTATGACATCATACCCTGTAGGTACAATTTTATGAAGCATCTGATTAGTCAGAGCATCCTAATAGAAAAGTAAAGTAAAGAAAACAACTCAGAAATAATGGAACAAATAATAGTACACAATACGCGGGCTTTTTAGATAGGTTTTTGTTAGGCTTTGAACTTTTCTCTATGGGCTTCTCTAGCCAAAGTGAATAAGCCAAAGGAAAGGCAATACCTTAACCTTCAAATTGCTTCTCATATCAACTAGGTCATTATGTGATTCCCATCTCACATATGACTTTTCTTCAAAACATGGTGGATTCATGAATCACTGAGGGAAAACTGAAACTATTGGACCAAGGTTTGATACCAAGGTATGGGTTGACTAGTCTGAGGACTAAGCTAACAGACTTTGTCTTTTAGGGGGATACCTAGTAGTCATGTCCATGCATGATTCCCAAATCATGCAGGACAACGGGCGCTTAGTTTTATAGTAGGTAAGTAAGGAACAAGGAGGGAAAATTTCTGACATATGTATATTGCAGGGCACAGGCCGACGTCATTCGGGCGCAGCCTATTGGCCACTTTGGCTCATGCGCTCGGACCTGTTTCTCCCGCTCGTACCTAGCCGGATCCTTCGGCTTCCTCACTCTCTCCCTCATTGGATCGCTCGGACTTCAACATTCCTGAGTACTTGCAATAGACCTCAAGTAACGTGTCGACGTATGCTGTGGGATCCAATGAATCATCTTCCTCTGATTTTTCACCCAGGAGTATCTCAACAGCAGCTAGACCCGCCATCTTCACATGTTCCCCAAACCGTTCTCTAAAACGCTCCAGGTCAGATGTGTGAGACAATGACACGTACATTGACCGCAGGACTTCTTCTTTGTGAAAATCTAGTGACCTTTGGAAGGTCTCCCAGATGAGGTCAGAGTACGGTCGGATCAGCATATACTCGCATTTGCTGAGAAGTTTCTTCCGAGTGCCAAGGGGCAGGTATTGGTCGGCACGGTCCTGTTCCTCCTTCAGGCATTGCCCTGCCTTTGTTAGATAGTGGAGCAAATTGCCCTCTGCAAGGGATAGCTGGGACTCCGGCTTGTAATACTTTTCTGCTGCGTCCAAGAACAGTATCTCGAGATGCTCCTCATAGACATCAAGACCAAGAGAAACGACTGAATCAACCACGTTTTTGACAAGTCCCTGATTGATCATCTCGCCGTCCCGTTGGCGCTCGATCCATCGGAGGATAACACTGGTAAGTGTTATATGCAGGTGGAAAAAAATAATTTCTTTCCAATGCACGAACGCGAGCTGCCAGAGTCAATGACGACATGAGTCCGTGTGAAGAACAGGGGGACGTACAGTGTGTACCTCAAGTACTTCTTGATTATATCTTTCCTCTCCGATCTCATAGTGCGCGCGATTGATTCTGATAGACGAAACAATGCGACTGATCATTTTAGCACCTGATGAGTATCTTTCCCATGCGCCGGCGTAGTATCGTAAAAGGAATTCATCTTCAAGTTGGAGGTTATCAAATTGCTGTAGACAGTAATTTAGCTGATTGCTCGTGAGATCGAATAATGAAGTAAACATACACTCCTGAGGGACTCGACGTCGGTAATGAAATATTGAGTGAGGTATTCATGTAAATTTGGGCAGCCCATTATGATCTCATTACGCCCTGTTACTGGAGTCAGTCTATCTGTTAACTGGACAATTCGTGACACTCACTCGGACTGATGTCACGTTGTGGTATGGCTGAGTAGTATTGGTATATCGATGTGTGCAGGTTCATCCAATTCACGGAGGAGACGTCCTTGCCAGGCTTTGTCATGATGTAGTCCACTTCCTGCTTGATGAGAGCCCATTTTGTTGCAATCATATCTGCAGTACTAGCGGGGGGTGCAGGGTCAGTATCACTAGCCGGTACAGTTGATGTTGAATTAGAGGACATGGTGGTCACGAGTTGCGTTCGGCGGACAGCCCAGTAGTCTCTTGAGACCCCTGTGTCACAAATGTGGCGTTGTCCCTTCCAAATCACTTGGCACACAATTTATAACTTGAAGGTAGACCCCAGCACATATTTCATGGACAAACGGATTGACTACCTAAATGTGAGACATCTCTGATCCTTATGTATGTTTGGTAGGTCGACCGATCTTAAGGCCTAACAGATATGTAGAGTTCAACGGAGTCAGAAACAGAAGGACTACTCACCGTGTACGATAACCCGCAGAAAACGAAGACCTGCAACTAGTACTACTGTCGGTATCGAGAAGCTTGAGACTGCCATCTATCGACAGACTTGGAAAGCGGTGAGTTTAAGGTAACTAGTTAACAGAGCATGTGATGTTCAACAGGCCGCAAGCGAGGTGTTGAAACCCTAACGTCCTGACAGTCATCCAAACGCAGTCACTTACTTACAATAGAACATCGCCCTATCGACCAATCTCAACACCAGTTTATGTGGCGGCTTTTGGTAGGTAGTGATAATAACTTCTTTCCGGCATCGCCGTCAGTGAACTTGCTCATAGCTGGATATCCTTGATGCAACGGTTCATTCTGGGACAACTTTTTGGTGACCCGGGAATAATCAAGACCAGCAAGTGCCAGTGTCAGCGTCGTTGTGAGTGATAAACTAGAAATTGCGATGTGTAAGTGGTGTACAATTTCTAGAAACAAAACGAGATCAAATGGATTCATAGTATAAACTTGACCAAGCGCGCGCGTTCGTGGCCTATTCGCTCAGCCCGAGGCCTTTGATAAACTCCAATGCAAGACGGGGACTAATGTATGTCATATCAACGAATGAAAAAAACACAGTAGGGTGACATGAAACGCACCTGTCTGCCGGCTTCACAGGCATTTTCTTGTCCAAGAGCTTGCCACCCTTCTCAAAGACAAAATGACTACGTTTCGTCTTATTTCCATCGCCAGCCCCAAGAATGCCTATCAATGACCGCTTAGGATCAGAAATGAGCGGGAATGGGAGTTCCTTCTGGAGTGACGGTCATTTTCAGTCATGAACTTGTCGTTTGCACATCGAGGATATGGGTGACAACGCACCTTGGTTTGCCATTTACTCTGAGCAGTTGAGGAGTCGGCACTGACTCCATAAACATCATAATCAAGCGAGGTAAATTCTTGCCATATATCGCGGAAGCCACATGCTTGCGTAGTGCATCCAGCTAGAAGAAAAACAGTTGCTAAGATGAACACCAAGATGAACCCAAAAAAAACTTGCGCGTGTCAGCCTTCGGAACAAGAAAGAGAACGACGCCCTTCTCTGCTGCGATTGAACCAGTATCGATGTCTTCGCCTGTCTCGTTTTTGAGGGTCATCGAGGGGAGAATATCGCCAACGTCGATGGGCGCTGTATCTGCCACATCATCATCCTCCTTGAGCCGTTTCGTCTTCATTAGCTTTGGCCTTGAATGCACTACAGTCAATATCAGAGAACTTGGCTTCAAGTGGCGTACTTTCTTGTTCTTTTCATCTTTGTCAACCTCCTCGGCAGCCCTTTTTGTCCCCGCTTTCGAAGGTTTTCTCGGTTTCTTAGCAAGAGCAGGAGTCTCTACTTTCGCTTGCCCTGAAATTCTCGATGATCGCCTAGGAGCTTGAAGCTCAGCCCCAAGTTCGTTGGAGGCCATAGTGCTTGGGTAGGTAGAGTATCAGAGTTGACGTTGAAGAGGCTAAGCGGACCACAACCGTGACATAACGTTGCTACTACGGCGCCTGTCAGGGGCTCCAACTGACACTCGTACGTTCTGGTCGCATTAAATCCACAATTTAAGGTAATTATCAATAGCAAACGCAAAACAATATCCTTGAATGATAGACATTTCACATCCCACAATCACTATTGATAGCAGGTATATAGCAAATCCGAATGGAATAGTCAAAGTAGTGAAATAAATGGTGTACGAAGGGCATGATGCCTTATCGAGGTTCAGGAGGAAGGCTTGCAGAAAAGCTTCCTGGAAATAGGCGTGAGGCTGGAGATGCGGGTGGAGTGGAGCTTCTCGCAGCAGTCATGTCGTAGGCGAATTTGGAGAATGTAAGTCTCCCGTCGATCCATTGGAAGACGTGGAACGAGTACGGGAAATGTATGGACGCGGTGGAGGCCGCAGAGGTTCCCCAGGCGGAGAAGCTGTTTCAGGTGCAATCATGTCCAGGTCCATGCCAAATTCATCGATTATTCCGCGAGGAGGAGGCCGTTCGACCATGGCCTCCAATAACTGTAGCAGTGTTCGAAATATGCGTGGAACTGAATAACCGATATACTCACCTCACGACGGAGTTCTTCGCCGGCGTACTCTCCCTCCATCTCTTCAGGTCCGAGAAGGACAGCACCTTTTCGGAAGATTTCCCCTTCTTCTTCAACCCAACTTTTCGACCTTTAAACGTCGTCAGGGTATGTAGATACTTTGCTTGTATGATGACTCACCTAACCACAGGGGAAGGGACGCTAATTTGGTCCTCCTCGCCTAAGAATCTGTTGTCGTCTTCATCCTCATCCTCTGATTCGTTTATCGTGAAAGTGGGACTCAACACTTTCTCCGGCTCCTCCGGCTCTGGTTCTGCTCGACCTTTTCCTTTATCTACCTTCGGAGTTAGTGGTGCATCATCCTCTGACAGATCTGTGGGGCGCTCATGTAGAACATCTCCGTCGGCAGGAACTGATCACCGCGCTGGGAATATCTAACCCAAGACCATGAAGAAGTGGCCTGCTCGAAGGAGCGGATGACAACTGTGTGATAGCACTGTTCAGTTTATCGCAGAGGCCTAGGAGCTCTTCCAGAAGGGCGACGTCTGTCGTAGTCTGCACTTTTTCTGTGATTTCATCGACAGTGGCCTTGGCTTGCTGAACGAGGTCTTGGTCCGCGGGTGACACGAGCGTTGGAGAGGATGTGCCTGAAGATGTGACTGAAATAGACCTTGGGCTATTCACTGAGTTCTCGATTTGAGACAGCAGCGTATACGCTCTTGATACAATCTCAGTATTGTTCTTCAGAATCGTGAGCAGGCTGATCATATATGGGGAACATTCATCTACCTTGAGCCCGCCACCTTGACGTATTGATTTGGCTAATTCACTTTCCTGGATCATGTTCCACACACCCTTACCAAGCCCTCGGTTGCTCGCCGGACTACGAAGCCCATCAGAAACATGTGCCGCTTTTTCCGCTTCCTCCGTATTCCGGATACAAGTGTTGAGAATTTCACGACACATTCTGTGTGAGGTCGTATTCATGAAACGTACTGTACAGATCACTAGACACTCACCTGGCAAATTCCTCGTCATCTGGAGGTATATTGACATCGAGACACCGCATCGTGTGATTAGCCTTGAGTCCCGAGCTAAGCGCCATAATGGCAGCGATGTCCAAGTTATTGTCTGTGAGATCAAGGTGGAGCAAGGAGTTTGATTCAGGGAGAAATTCTGCGAGTGCGATTGCGCCCTGTGATGTCATATTAGTGGAGGAGAGGAATAGACGCTTGAGAGCGTTATTTAATGTGAAGGCCGTTCGCAATGATTGAATCTAAACAATATTCAGTCTAGGCACCATGTGCAGCGAGTTATTGACGCACGCCTTCGAGACCAGGACCAGAGCAGGGATTCCGACTGAGATCCAAAGTTTCTAAGCAATGATTGTATTTCTAGAAGCTCCTGTTAAAACTGGCGACCAATGAGCCTCTAATGCTTACCATCGCCTCGGCAATTGCCACCAAGCACTGAACATCCAGCTTGTTTTCACTCAAGTTCAGGACCTTAAGCGTCCTGTTTCGTTTGAGTACTTGTGCAAGGTAAGTAACCCCATTCTACACCGACGTCATCAACAGATAATACCATGCTCAAGAAAAGTACTTACACGAAGGTCATTGCCTCGTAAATCCAACGTGCGGAGAGCTCCAAGCCTTGGCAATGCATCAAGAGCGCGCACCTTGTCCAGGAGTGCAGCACTTGGACCGTCATCATGCCTGTGAGCCGTACCATTGGGATGGAGTCCGCCCTCCGTCCGTTGAGGTCCAGGTATTTGGTGCAAGATGGCGGGTGGTGACACCACCCTGTGGATTTGACGTGATGATGGGGATGGGCTGACCAGAAGCTGAGAGCAGGGGGAGGTTGTGCCGCTGCAGCACCTCGGCGAGTACGAGGTACATACGGCGTGTAAGTCGTCTGAGGAGGCAAGGACGATGGATGACGTGGAGGAGGCGGCACAGGTCCTGTACGGGTAACAGGTGACGGAGGAGGTAGATGAGCAAAAGGGGGAATCGGCGAGGAAGGTGGCGAAGAGACAACGCTTCCTTGTGAAGGAAAGGTAGATGAGTTGGGAGTAGTAGGGACCACGTCCGGGTAGTCTCGGATCATGAGAGCAAGTGCGACGGCTCCTGTTGCATTAATGCGATTATGGCGCAGAGAGATGTTGCGAAGAGATGAATTACGAATAACTCGGGCTGCCACACTTAGAGGAAATCGGACGAAGTGTGAACGTTGATAGCTTACCAAGTACGTCCAGCGCTGGCACCCTGATAGAACAGTCATCTAGACGGAGGGAGATTAAACCAGGCTCAGGTGCTGTTGTCAATGAGACTACGATATAGTCTACTGCCTTCTTGTCTAGATTTGTTTGTGAGAGGTCGAGGAATTGTAGACTTTTTGCCTGGCAATGGAACACATGAGTAGCTACATTATTATCTGCAGAAATAACGCACTTTTGAGGCATAAAAACCAAGCACTTTAAATGCGGGTGCTTTTAGGCGACGGTTTGACGCGACGGACAGGAAAACGAGGGTGCCAGGTATAAGCAGCGCGTGAAGCATAAGTTTCAATTTCTAGATCGTGGTGAGCACAGCAGAGGCAGTCAGAGGGGAACCAACTTACATAGTCGTCCAAATCACACTCTCGAAGGGTGAGTTTTCGAAGACCCCACTCAATCGTAAACACGTCAGAGAGTATTGCGGCAGATGTGGGTGTCAATTGTACACCAGACAAATCAACGGACCGAGGGTTTGTGCCTGATGCGCGCTGTTGAGTGCAGCCGTCTGAGATTAGCTTTATGTGCTCTCAGAACCCACAAGTAAATTTTATCACCTTAAAAGCAGCAGAAATCGCGGGGTCTGGTTCTTCCTCTCTTGATGTGCAACACTCCCTGTAGAAGGATTCCACCTTCTCCAAATTCCACCAATCTTCGGTTTCGTTCGGACCAATAGAGTTGCCTCTGACAACTTTCCTGCGTCTCTCCGCCTCTCTCTCTTCAATTGCCCGCTTCTCATCTTTGAGCCCGGGTGTTGATGGAGGGTTGATAGAGGATATAGGGTAAACTATGGCGAGTTTGGGAAGTATAAAATGGGCACGCTTTAGAGGTTTGATGTCGTCGCTAGCGGAAGTAGGAGATTGTGTTGGAAGAAAACCCTTGATTCGAGAGAGGATACCAGTTTGCGTGGGTGGTGGACGCTTCAAAATCGACTTGCCAGGTATTGGGATGGTTACCGCAGATGAAGAGGGCGAACATGATGAAGACGGACTTGCCATCTCACAAGTCTGAGACTGAGGCTTAACTTAGCTACTTAGGTTTTTAGTGCTTTAGCCCAATTGAATGACCTTGTGACAATTTCTACAGGGCCGATAAGGAATACTAAAACCGATCAAGCTTCGCTAAGCACATTGGACTTCTTGAACTTGAACTTCACCTCACGAAACTATCGATTGCTTGCTCTCTTGAACTCCTGGAAATCGCCGTGAAGCTTCTAGCGAACACTGAATCATGACTCCAGGCGCCAAGCCTGATGTAGTTTATTTTTTTCCAACTTGATGGGAGCGCACTATTACCACAAATTAATTATCAGACCCAGGCGTCCTTGGTCAATCTAGGTCAAAACAGCATCAGTATCGTTTTCGACTGTTTTCGATTCGTCGCTGCTTCAGGTGCGTCTATGTGTGTGTCGTTTGATCATCTTATTGGGTACAGCTTGGGATTCACAATATCACATCACTGCGAGTGGGTTCTCTACATCCGACCTGCGTTGGGTGCGACTTTAAAGTGTCCACCGGGATACATCTACTAAGTCCTGTTCGTCACAGAGACTTTGCGAGGACCCAAAGATACGAGTAACTTGACTGCATGTCACACTGCATGCAGCGAATTCGCAGCGGATCCTAGTTTACCATTGGAGCGGCGTTACTTGGTTCGCCAGTTTTTACGTCCTTGAACCGAGGTCCTTCCGTTTGCAGTGTCGGACTAGAGCCAGTAACCCGCCGTTGCACAGAGTCAGTTCGTGAGGGTTTTGCTGGGGGTTGTACAGCATGTTGTGCGGGAATAGCTTTATGCAAATTGTGTAGGAGAAGCCATACATGGACAATGTAGATTGTGTTGTGCTCATGGAAGATTTTACAAAGGGATCGAGCGTCAGCTTTCAATTGGACAGGGACGAATACGGATACTCATACTCTACAGAAGTGGGCGACAGAAATACTGGTATAGCAATTGAAAGGTCAAGACGGGAGAAACCGGTTGTAACCATAGTTGACAACGACCACGACGCCCGATTCACTGAATATGAAGGAATGTAGCAGCTCCAGGATAATTGTCCCGAACTCGGATCTTCGACGGTACTCCTGTAATATGGCGACCAGGTGCCAAAGAAGATACAAAATATTCGAGATGTATGTTAACCTTCTGATACCCCGGTGAGCTTCTCAACACAATGGAGCATGAAAAAATGATGCGGGCGACAGCGTCAGCATCTGTTAGCTGCAGGGTACACAAGTGGGGACATCGACGGAACGTTGCGAATAATCCGCGGAAGGTGACAGTACCATGAAGTATATCCTTTAATGTCAAAGAGCGGATGTGTGTCCAGCTTGAAATGACTCCGAAAAGGTTTTTGTCAAGGATAATGGAGTGATGAAAATTGAGGTGCAGGAGTCGGAGCTGCGTGAAACAAAGGAATTGTGCAACTACTGTCAAAGAGCCGCCTGAAAGCCACTGGATTCCTGGACGATTGGAGACAGCGAGAATATGTTCAAGGGTCTGGCATGATTTACACTGGGACAGTGCGCAAAAGAGCCGCACTCAGCCTCTGTCCAAGGCAATGCACTCGTGACCATCTCAAGAATTTCAGCGAGGGGAATTCTGAGTGTTGCACGAGTGTTGTGATAGTAGCAGCCATGTCTACGTAGAAAGACAGAGCAGTGAGGTTGAGGAAAGGTGCCGACTTGAGATTATTGAGGTCCGATGTGGACTGCGCTCTCCTTATTGATCACGACTGTGAAAAGGATAGGGAGGTTGGAGAGGCGGTCCCATGTTGCCCAGTCGAGTGCTGGACAAGACAGAGTTACAAGTTGCTTCAACTTCTTTCATCGATAATCGATAGATAACAACGGTACAGCGTAAGGGACAGGAAGCAATCCAAGTATCTGGGAACGAGAGGCCTCCATGTTGACGACCGCAGTCTCTGGAAGATGCATGAATCGATTGGAATGTTGCTGGGAGAAGGTGAAAATGGTCGTCGGATGCGTCAATATATCCAATGAGCGAACGCGCGTAGAGTGGCGCAAAAATTGACGGGCCTCATGCTCGGATAATGATTCGACACTTCGAGTGGACCAGGATGAGAGTTACCGGTCCTAGATGCTTGGTGAGCCAATGAACCAAAAGAATGAAAAGAGCATAGCTAGTCAAGACCCCACACTGACCTTTCTGAATATCACTGGATATAGCCTCGTTACACAGCCTGGCAGCGTTCAAAACCATCCGAGTCTGTGTCAGCCCAAAGCCCGTTCCTCCTGAAATGTTTCGCACATATGTCCTTGCAAGTGCCACTCAACTGTCATTGACGGTTGAGCAGGTCTGTATGACAATGGGTCCGAGATTTCAATGAGTTGCACAAATACGTCCAGGAGGGCTTCGGGAACAAACAGAGCACGATGCCATTAATTAGATGGTGTTGAATGTCGAGTTGTAGCCAAATTCCTCTATACTAGCGGCCTGTCGTAGCTCTGCTTAGTCTGCTACCACCAGTTTTATGTAAAGTGCGCCTCAGTCGACCACGGTCTAGCCTGGAAATTTGCCATGGCAGAACGTTCAATAATAAAAACAAACACAAACACCGAACTGAAGCTTCAGCGTTTCAGCAACTGTGACACTGACTCGGACTGGCCTGAGGCAATGATATATATTATAAAACGCCCATCAAAGAGGAATTGATTGAAAATAGGCGACAAGGCATCAGATGCTTCTACTAAGACTAAAGACTGATTAAAGTTAGCCTGTGCGAGGAATGTCGCATCTCAAGTTGAGGGAGGTTGCAAGGCCTTAAGCGAATTTGAATAATTAGAGTAGTACTGTTTACAGCGACTACATCCGCTGGATATATCTGCATGGCGTCTGTGGCATTCCCCTGCATCTGAGTCTCATCATGTGCACACAGAATCCGATCACTACCATATGACCACTCTCGTCACCGTCCTCGAATGCATCAACTTTGTCGTGCAGTGTAAACTCAAACAAAGGGGGGAAAAGAAGGGACGGCGATTTCACTAGTCACGGCGCCCGTCATAGCAATTAAAATACATCCATACAGCTCTTGCACCTTTCCCATAATTTACCCCACCGCCCTCCGTTCCACTGCCGAATCCTCACCCAGCCATCATGCGGTGCTACTTTCTCTATCCAAATGAGTACCGAAACGATGGCAAAGTCAGCATATGTAAGTTCGTGGCCCATAGCAACCACCCCGTCACCGTCAGTGCCCGAGTTCTTATCAAGAATATTTGCCAGAAAATCGAACTGCTCTTGAACTGCCCTCCAAGCCTGCTCTCTCTCTGGAGGAACGGAAAGATAACTTGGCGTCGTCCCACTGAGAAAATGACTCTGGCTGCGCTCCGGCAAATGTTGGTGACTAAGAGGTACCATGATAGGGAGCAGTGGCTTCACGAATATCTCTTGGATATAGTGCACAAACAACGCCTGCAGTGCACGAGATCCCTCTGGAAATACTTGACGCGCTGCAAATCGTTCAGATGTAAGGGTCACAGATAGAAAGGTATACTGACCTGGGTAAGTGACCTCCAGATACTCAGCAATGTGATTTGCATTTGAAAGGACTATAGGAGCCTGCGGCGACCGGATGGGATCCACGATGACTGGGAGAGAGAAGATAGGCCGGCCATCATTTCTGACGGACGTTGGTGGGGCCCCAATGCCATGGAGGGTTTCCTCGACGTCTGGAAATTCCACCCAAGTAGTACAGTAGGGGAGCCGTTTAAAATTGAGTATCAACCTGGAAAATATATTAGTGCACATATCTGTTGAAGCGAAATGTCTTACCGTACCCGCCAGATGTTGGGGGCCCAAGGTTGCGGAATATTGGATGGTACATCATAAAGTATAATCATCGGCTGGGACATCGTGTGTTTGTATGGGTGGCTTTGATGGCCTATAATCGTGCTTGCGGTAATTTATTAAGGGGAGAAAACACAGGTACGCTATCTTCGTCGTGCATGACTTCACCCATTTTGTCGGTGTTTGATATGCTTTACGTGTAGCCACCTGTCTCATTTGAGTTCATGCGTGTTTCTCACCTCTTCCGTGGGGCAATCGTTGATCGCCGACCTTGTTTCCGAGTCATGAACATCAACAATGACGTAGTCACTCACGAAATCTTTTATGGGTACGGACACTTAGAACGACTAAGGTGTTCTTGCACATCAATCTGGGTATGTCACGAGTCATGAAGTCTATATGTGACCTGTGTACTAGAAATCAGAAAGAACACGCGAAGGAGCCGATTACCCACTTCACTAAGCACTAGTTGCTGTATTTGTAACTTCTATTTTGTCTAGAAGCTGTAGTTTTGCACAATGTGTGAAGAGATTTCCGAATTTAGAGGTGACGCACCTGGTCACTAGCAGCCACCAGCACTGCAATGTGTATTGCCTCAAAAGAGTGACTTGAAGACTGTTATAATAACACGGCGGAGCTCTACGTCCGGCTGACAGTCCCATCGCAAGAGAAAATTTGCGATCATCTATGGGAAACACGCTGTAGTCTAAGGTTTACAAATTAGTTCTTATCTTCAACAACACCGAGAGAAAAAGTCGGGACAAGATATTTTGCATATGGTAGAGAAGATCAAGGCGTTAGGATAAAGCCGGCGCCGACAAGGGTCCTAGTCCTGGACCCTTGACTGACCATCAGCGCAATCATTAGGCGACTTACTTTGGGTGACCGGTCACCGATCATTAATCAAGCATAACAATCAACACTAATGTGTTATGATAACCGGCACTGAATTCAGGCTGCCAGACATACCTCATCAAGACTTCGGACTTGAAAGATGTTTGATGACGTACAGCTCCTCAATGAAATGGCACCGTGATCAAGCTTGCGCAGTTAAGGGGCAACGGAAAGTCGTCTCTTTTAAATTGCCGACGCACATGTCCAACGATCTAAACGGTGACCACGCTGCACAAGAAACGGGCCATTTCTCGCTGTATAGGATCTGCTCACGACGCCCTGACAGGTGCTACAACGTGGGAGTTCGCTTCGTTGTAACCGCAAGTTGTCCGACATCAACAGTAGCCAAGGCGAAACAAATATGTATCTGGGATAACATTGTTCACGCCGAAGATAAGTTCCTTGACGCTGAGCAAGCTCTTTTGTATGTCGATGAGTACGTCTGTGACGGGGAAAACGTTCTATGGAATCGGACAATAGAATTTGGCGCACCAACTTGCTTCAAGTAAGTACTGTTGTGGATTGGCACTTGAATTATTCGTTTCAACAAGAGCATCGATGACCTGACTCACTGATGGTAGTAAAATTTCCAGGCAACGGATTTTTCGGTAGGTTTCCAAGATTGAGAGACCTTCACAATGGCGACAAGCCCGAGCTTTTCTGGATACCAAGGCCGTACTAGCATAGCAGAGCATAGCCCGATATATTTCTCGGCTGAAGGTTTGGTCTAGGCTTGGTGGACGTCGAAGATCATTCAAACGAATAAATCATCAGGAACGAACATTTGTTGGCAGGAGGAACGAACTTGTAAGGGCTTCGAATTCTATCAAGGTTCTGCTAATCACCCCACCATATGAAGTACGGACAAATCCTGAAGCGTTCTGCAGAGGCATCTTCGTCATCCTCACTTCAGCGCAGCCGCACGGGCTGGCAACTGAAATACTTGTGCTACGATAGGGAAAAAACCTGAGAAACTCGGGCATCGGGCTGATGCCAAGGGAGAGCTCGCGGAGCCGGAATCTTAAATTTGTAATTCAGATAACCCTGGTCAGCACATTCCTTCGAATTTCTTTATCAATACGTACTGACGGGCCACTAGTACTGCGAACGGCGAGGATGCAGATGTGACTCCCGTGAGTGCGCACTCGTTCGAATCATAAATTTCAGCCGTACCAAGAGTGTACGATGCGACTCGAACTCACGCTGACATGTAGATTTTTGGACTGAATATAGCTCATAACTAGCTAAATTGTGCTGTGTGGCGGCACAATTGTTTGTCTACGATGACGTCCTAAGGACTGGGATCCTCGGTATCAAAGCACTATATGAAAAAGCATTTGGTGAGTATTCATACCTTGACAATCATAGCCGGGTCGTATCAATGCAGCTGTTATGCAACAGAGTTCATTGACAAAGCTGAGGCGCTGTAAGTTATTGTTACATATAGGAAGTACCTCCAGTTAACTGCAATTCCGTGGAGGTTTTTTACTGAAGATCAATCATCTTCAATACATCTAGGTCTGTACTTTGACGATCCACTTGTTTGAAATGTGCAACCTAGGAGATGCTTGGATTGTCAGCGAAGTTTATTCGCTGATCGAGGCAGAGCTAGGATTGCTGCTGAACCCGTTCTCCAGGAATACATGACACCCTGCTCGTGTTGTTCTCTCTTGTCTCTCCTGCCAATGACGTGGCATGCATTCCGTATCCACTAATCGCACTAAGCATCTACAATCTCTCGACCACGCTTAGCCCGGAGGGTGCTCATGCACCTTCCTGTGTGTTCGGGGTGCATTGCTTCCGTCCTGTCTTTAACCGAACAGAGCAATTTATCTTTCAAGTGCCCGGTGCCACGATCATACCGCTGAAGTCATGATACATCACGGGGAAGTGGGTTATTCTGGGAGATTTGATGCCCGGCTACGTACCTGGTAAAATTGGGTGGGCTAAGATGGGCGATTGTGACAGCGAAGTTCAAATGATCCATGCGACTTCTCATCATTCGTACGCCACTGGCTTGAATTCTATTTCCATGCTCCCATCAATCACATTGTGACCAGAAGACCGAACGGCGAACTATTCTAGTCTCGCTTGGTGTGCAGAGGTGATGCGTGCCAATGGACAAGAGGAACGGAATGCGACCAATTCCAAGTCGCTTATCGAATGCAAGGATTAACATCTCGATGATGGAGCAGCCCGAAGTTTAGTAGCCTTGGACAACGAGATTATTTGCACGTGCGTTTACCATCTAGACCCTAAGGTCCAAAAATTTGATGTGTGTTGAACGTCTGAGACAGTCGACTCGACAACCTCTACTAGACGCACACACTCATGAATACATGTCATTTGTGGATCCAATCAACCTTGCGTATAGAACTTATGCATATGATAAAGACGAGGGTTCGGGTATGCATGACAATAGTTAATGAAGCAAATGGCTATAAAATGCGTGAAAATAATGTAACGAGGACGCTGCCATGAAAATCAGTAGACTCGCCCAGTAACTCTGGTTCTGACCTTGCAGCTTGCAAAGGACAGAAGGCTGACCACCATTACCACCGCCCCACCAAGTCAGTCGGGTGATCAAGAAAGCACATGCATACATTAATGGGGACCTTGTCTTCGTGCCCGAGGCTCCTCATCGAGCTCCAACTTCCCCATCACTTCTGCAGACCCGCCACTCGAAGCTACATCGTTGGCGCTCATGCTGCGTAAGGAGCCAAGTCTCGGTCTTGACGTTTCCCGCCGGATCTCCGTGCGTCGCATACCTCTGTTCTCTCCTTCATCACGTCCACTTGCACTCGAGATAGGGCTTCCGCCCGTTGAATCTCCACCCATACTGCCTCTTCTCCGGCCACCACCAAGTCCCTCCAAGCTCGCAAGGAATGTCTCATTCATGTGGCGCAAACGTTCGTCGACTTCTTCTTCTCGTGTCAACATTGGACCCGCGGAACCCACGGAATTGGATTTGGTATGTGAGGGGGTAGTGGATGGGCCCTGTGTAGATGCGGGCAAAGGTTGACGTTGGGCATTAAGTGGCTTCCGCGCATCAATATCCTTGACAAAGATGGATATCTCATCGTCATCAGTGGGGGCACCAAGGAAAGAGGTACTCTGCATAGGAGCGTTATCAGTACTACATTCCATCTATAAATAACAAATGATGAAAAATGAAGCAACGTGCGATGCAATGCAATACCAGTCAGGTCGGTATGCAACGTGAAGAATAATGTATAATAAGGCATCAAGGTTGCTCACCTCTGCTCGTTCCCCGCTTCCTGCACTTCCAACACTCCCCCCCACCTCCGGCTGCAGCGTAGCGATGTCCGAAACTACTGGAGTAACGCTTCCTCGTTGGAATCTTCGGAGATGTGTCCTCGCCTTCTGACCGACCTCCGATGCTACTGGGAGATTGCCTACCGAATCCAATTGAGGAGTGGGGAACGACACGAGAGGCGTTTGGTGACGTTGGCACTGGGCGAGAAGGCAGTGATGGATTGCCTGCAGAAAGTGGCGACGGTTGACGCAGAGAAGGGGAAGGTGAGTGGAGGGACGGAGAGCCTGATGATAGTGTGGACGTCTTGAATGGATGGACCGGGTTGATACCCGGTCTTCGGATCGGAAGTGGCGCTGGGGCAGAGGGAAGGTCCTGAAGAGACGTCAGTGATCGGTGAATAAATCAAATGATAATACTGACTGCACTACTACTCCTTCCTGCCATACTCTCCAATCTGATGCGTGCAGCAGCGGAGACTCCCGAAAAAGGTCCTGTGTCTTCCTTAGACCAAGCTGTACTCGAATCTTGACGTGAGGACGCGATCGAGAGGGCAGATGTCGATCCCGCATTGATCCCGGCACCGGTGGAAGTACGACTCATGGGGAAAGCGCCCAGGCGCGGACTCTGGCTGACTGGCATGGAGTTTGTACGAGAGTGAGAATTTGGGGCAGGGAGAACAAAACGATCTGCGATCGAGGACGGCGGTGACTTTGGAAGAGATGCACGCAATGGTAGACTACCCAGAAGGCCTGTTAAGGAATCACGCTGCTGGTTCTTTGCGAGGGTAGGGGTGAACTCTGGTCCTTCATCTAGAGAGAGAAACCGAGAGGAGAGGAGAGATTCAAGTTCGTCGAGCTGGAAGTTCGGAGAAGAGAGGTAGGTGATGGCAAGGGAGAGTGTACCCGAAGGATGTGGAATAGCAGGGAAGAGATGGGTTTGGTGCTGTAGTGGTGGTGCATTGGGTGCAGGAGGCGTGTCTTCATTGGACGGAGATGAAGTAATGATGAAATGAGATGAAGCCACGAGGTCGAAGGTAACGTGACTTACCGAAATCGAGGATGTCAGTTGCGCTAACGCCGTCGTCAAGGCCCTTGACGCGTAAATGGATACTTAAATTACCGTTCCGGTATGCATTGCTTGTGCGCCTCCTAAGCTTCTTGTAAAGCTTCCAGGAGGGAAGAATACGAAGTAGACTGTAGATACTGCGGAAGAGAGGTATTCCGTGCTTGTAAATGGTGGATGGTGCCACACTGTCGGCGTCACTGTCCCCAAGAGCTTCTGGAACAAAATTGAGCAACCAATTCTCGAGTACGATATGCCTGGGCGTTGGGTCGACGCGAGAGCGAGAGGAATCATGTGCAAGGTGGACCAAGACTTGATTAGTGATGAGATCTGGGACGGAGAGTAGCACCTGAAGTTCGAATGGGGGTGGCGCAGGTGCAGTAGATACTGCTTTGTATATACGGAGATGATCTCTGAAGAGGTCAGAGTCTGGTGTTTCAAGGTTAAACTGGAAAGAGGTTAGCTCAGTCTGGATGCCTGAAGGAGTCACGCACCCATTTGTCGACCTTTGTCGACCTTAGCTCGGAAGTGGCCCTAGCATTTGAGACGACAAGACAGAGCTTTGTGTAGAATCTGTGTGCTATCTGGTCGGCCTTCTGAATGTCATTGGACATTGTAAGGGAAATGGTATTTGACTCGAACAGACTAGTATGAAATGGTCCGGGGTAGTAGAAAGAAATTAGAAAAGAAACGACATTAGGGTTACAAGTCTAGAAGTATGAGTCAGTCAAAGTATTAGAGTCGTGGTCAGAAACGAGATATAGGGCGACGAAGGCGTGTTCAGCACGCAGTATCAGTCCAGGGGTAAGTAATGAGACTGGGAAACCAAGAAAGCTTTCCTTTTTCAGTCACCCTTCAATCTAAACTAGCCTTACATAAGCGCCGCAAAGTACCATCATGATGATAGACTCGTGAGTCAGTGATGACGTGGAAATCTTGCCTAGACACGCAATTTACAGGTCATCAGTACCAGGTATGTCCATGTTCACCCAAGTTTGACTTTCATGAAGGCCAGTCATTCTCACATGAAACGGGAGTATTGCCACTTTGCCAAGCCTTTGAATTGTGATCGTGCGCCGCTACTACTGGGGCAGGGTCGACACACGACCAGCAACAACAGACTCGGAAGTGCAGCAGATACGTATTGTTGCTCTTGAAGAGACCGGAGTCTGGGGTTTCAACTTCCAAGCTTAAACTTCGGGAGCAGTAACCGCACTCGATGATACTAGTCGCCCAAGGTCACCCACTGCCGCCTGTCGACTCTTGGAACTTGGCCCAGATTTAGTCCTTGCGGTTTAACACCCCACTGGCAGCTACTTTATTTGGCCAGGCTTAGGTCAGGCGTATGCATCTATCCTATCTGATCGGCCTTCTGTAAGCCATAGACTCTGACAGACTGATATCGAATTTTGGGGTACCGAAGAGAAGTCTTCGGAAAATGCCAAGATCACTTTAATTGGGGAGTACAAGCGTGCCGAGGTGTTTCGTGACCAGCAACGAATGAGGGCAGTGGCGTGTTTAGCACACAGCCGTTTAGCTCATTTACTAGTAGACACATGCATGAAGACTCGTGACCGATGAATTCATCTTATTTTATAACCTCCTTTAGCTGTAGAGATACGCACGTCTCGAATTTCTATATCGGTATAGGATGGGACAACTCCATTATCGTATCTAGCCCTTCGCAGCCCTCACCGAGGCCTGAGGCCTGGGGGACGAAGCAAATGCAAACAAGGCATATAGTAAATCTTAGGGTGTATGGCTTCAATGATTTCCCGGCATCGGGCCAGATAAAGGGTGCTTGTAAAATCTATTGTAAACTAATCGAGAGGGGCAAGAAATAGCAGGGAATTACATCAACGTTGAAAACTAATAGTACAAAGACAGGTCATAATGGAAATATTTGTTGTACATAGGTAAAAGACACTAGTTAGGCTCAAGCAGTTTAATAACTGCAACAAACTCTACATCTAACAAAAGAGCGCAGAGGCAGAAATGATTATACACATACGCCATCGTTCGCCCAGTCACCCGAAACACCTAAAAATCATCCCAAATAGTGTCAGCAAAACTAGCAGCGTCATACCAGAGGCTTTCACTTACCGCCCGGGACATCATTCTCCGACCACCAATTCGCAGTCCAGAGATCCCCGCTGTTATAACGTAATACGTTAGCTACCAATCCATGAGCGCAAGTCAACTTGCACACGCACCCATATGTGACTTCGTCGCCTCCAACATACTAAGTAGAGCTATTAGACTCCAAGAATTGCCCAATATGTAATTCAACTCACAGCAACACCAGTTTGCCACTGCTGCCACACCGGAGCAGGAACCAGTCCCAGATGTTGTTGTGGGAGAAGCACTTGATGTTGTGCTGGTGCTCGTTGTGGTAGTGATCGACACAGTCGTGGTCGTAGTAGTCGGCGCAGTCGTGGTCGTAGTAGTCGACGTGGTCGTAGTCGTAATCGTAGTCGTCGGCGGAGGGGCAGATGTGCCATCTAACAGTGCATCCTTGACAGAGATGTCGTATCTGTCATTTGCTGAAGAGGCAAATTCAGTCATAAGTGGATAGAGGTAGTATATGACCACTTTACCGTACGCCTGAGACGCGTCCCACAGCATGACGCCCCCGAAAGATGAATATTCGGCCATTGTTTGCTGGATGATTGTGGTAAACGTCGATGGACTGACATATCCGGATCCAGCTGCACTCGATGATGCTGGGGCACCAATGTAGACTTTGACATCTGGATTGGGGGATGCTGTCTCTGCCCAGTTGGCCCTGTACTTTTGTTAGGCCAAGAAAACTTCTGCAAGTCAAACGAGATTATATACCATGTGCTAAAGTCCCAATCCTACGGTTTGCATTTTTAGCCAATGATAACAATCGGCCTATGGGATGCTTACATTCGTGTCGTTGTAATTCGTCAATTCACAATAGTTGTTATCTAAAAGCGTGTGAGAGGCAGACTCAAACTGAAAATATCACTCACAAAATTGGACATATACAGCGTCAAATCCAAACTCGTCCAGAGTAGTACCAATGTAGGCATCAGGGTAAGGACATTGAGGCGCTGATAAATTTCACAGTATCAGTAATGGTCGTCGTGTGAAGCATCAGAAACCGAACCCGCAGTGATGTAGTACCTGTAAAGGCTGTTAGAAAGTAAATCAAAAGCCTGTGGAACGACGTACGGCTTACTGCCACCATCCATTAAGGTGCGAAGGGCGGTTAAGAAAGATACAAATCCAGTCTGAGTGCCACCTTCGATGTCCATATCAATGCTAGATTCAGTGTCAGATCGCACATTTCTTAAGGGGTTGATGCATTATTACCCGTCCAGAACAGCGGACCCGAAAGGACGCGTGGTACTTGAGCCTCCCAGGAAAAGATCCCAGATTATCTGGGCATATGCCGCTGCTTCGGTGTCATTTGTAAAGCCGGCAGAACCTGTTGCTCCACCCAACGACATCGTGACGATTTTTCCTGCAGCTTGACAATACTCGATATCTGATGCGAGGAATGAGCAGTTGAGGAGGTTCGTCCCTGGAAAAAGAGGGCTCGTGCAAGTCTACAGCCGGGTTAGACAGGTCCCGGAAATCAGAAGTGAGAACTTGCATTTGCAAGGTTGATGGACGGGAGATTTCCTGTCGAGTAGAACTCGTCCAGAAAGGCTATCGGGAGAGTGTTGATCACGGTGTCCTGCGATTAAGACGTGAGGTAAATTTTCCAGTATAATATAGGAATAGACCAACATTGCAATAGTAAGAGATGGGCTGCTGCCAATTTGCTGGATCGTCTGGATTCACAGCTCCATACGAGTTCTGACCCCAGTACCTGCAATCCATAGGTCGTTGGTAACGGAGATATGCATCTTATGCTCGTGATCCACTCACACAGCCAACTAGTCAAAGTTGTCAATCACGCGTCAAGAAAGAGGAAGGCTAACTGACATTCTGGTTCGATGACATGTCGAACTGTGCAATTGTGCGAGTGACGAAACAGAGAAACAGCGCACATGTCAGGCGGGATTTGGAAAACATCGTGATGACTCCTGTTGCAGTGGAACAGTGACAGGATGGGGATCAATGGCCGACAATATATTATTGCACAGTACCACTTTCTCTTTATGCAGCACGGAATGCGGATGAGATGGCAGATAGAAGTCTCAACGAACCTGATACGGAAAGGGACATACTTCATGGTAGTTTGACTGCAACGATTGTGGCTGCCATATTGGCGATAAACAACTCAGCTGAACCATTCGGGGCAGCTGAGCTTCGCTCATGCAGGAGTTGAGTCGCATGTCAATTGGATGAAAATGGAGTTCTGGTTAACTATCCATGTGATACGACCAAACAAGATCATGAATGACTGGAGTCATGTTGCAGCCAAGTGAGTGTCCAATAGGGGTCACCTCTAGATTTTCGTTACGTCTGTGACATCCAAGAACATACCATCTAGTACTTGACGCGCCTTTGGCTACGGCACTAGAGGAGTGGCTTCCATGGTGCTTAGATAAGGGAGTTCTTCTCTAGTGAATTCCCCTAAGAATACACGAGGCAAGGGCGACGTACCTTAGGGAATCCATAAGGCCCTCTTCGTCACGTCGTGACTTAATATAGATCGGGACCGCCAACTGGCCGTCAGAATCAAGTATATCAAGCCTAGCAATCTCCGTGTTGGCAAACCCGAACCTACTGCAAGTCGAACATTTGAAGCACATGGTATGCCCACGAAATACTTCCGACACGTATCAGAAGATCCGAGGAATGCTCCAATAGGACCTATAATGGAACTATGTAGAAGTGTTGCGGAAATGCCAACCGTGACTGTCAGTATCAAAACAATCTTCTCGGACTGCACACTTGGGCTGAGCACCGAGCGCTTGATGGAGTCGATGTATATCGGGAGGTCGGGTACAATCAACAGACCACTGGGTACTACCTCTAAATTTAGTCAGCGTGATTCACAGCGCGTGAGCTCGGTGAAGCTCTTGACTAGATCTACTTAGGTCTGTTCCGAAAATTCTCGGCGACAGGAACCTGGTCATGACTGAAGCGCTGAAGATCCAAACCTGTTAGATAAACTTATCCCAGTCCCGCCCATCAGATGAGCCTGAGAGTCTGCAGGACATCTTTGAAATGGCCGGTTTGGGACAGAGTCTGGGCCAAAGTACAGTCTGGGACACGGCAAGCCTCCAAGCGGGTATAAAGCCGCTGTGTGCATCGCGCCTGCTCACTGTATGCAACAACGCCAAGGACTTACTTCCATGGACGTTGTGAACCTTGGAAAAGCACACGATGTCTCAAAACACAAATAGTTATTGTATATTTGACGCATCAATATGTCATTATAGACTGTGTCAATCTAACATCAATCAACCACACAGTGAGGGCATACCTTTGCCATCGGCTTGCCCAAGTTTCCGTTCCGGTCGCTGCGACAGATCGAAAGAGGAATGACGGCACCGCAGCCTGCACATCAAGAACGATGCCAATTGCTGATGGTCGCAGAGAGAAGCTGACAAGAAAGGGAATCTCTGGAAAGGTACTGGGCGGTGGATGGGCGGACAGAGTTGAGGCGGAGCATGAACATGCAGCATTCCAATCATGGCGGAATGTTGGGCGCCGCCGCAGGCGCAGCGGGTGCGTTGGTGCGACATGATACTATTGATAGGCAACCGAAGTTAAATTTAAACTCCGCTGAGAGTGCCGTCGTGTCCCAGACGTTGACCCAGATCTCCAGCCAAGTCTCCTGAGAGCCCGAGTTACTCATCATTCTTATGCTTACACACTCGGAACGTGCTCAGAACGGTTGGAAAAGCGAACTACATACCCTAATCCCTCAGGCCTCAACGTTGTTCAACCTCGACGTTGCAACCCCAGCAATTGCGATCACTAGCAGAAGACGTGTTCATCGACACCCCACGACGTCGCGTAAGCTGGGCCTCGTTAGACTATGGGTATGGGTCGCCATCATTTCAAGTACTGGTATGTCCTGTCGGAATGGTTTCTAAAATCCATTGCCAAGGCGAAGTTTGGATAGACACGGGAGCGTACCTTCAGGTAAATACATCATTGTATGATGACCACTACTCCATCCGACTACAACCCAGTCATGTTCGGACGGCGAAGTGGTCATCATATAAAAGATGGGAGCACACGTTCGGCATGGAATTGCACTGTTGCCAACTCAGATCAGTGGACCGGTGAGTTCTTGCTAGCGATTGTGCTGATTATGGTGAATTTACATAGACATATATTTCCAATGTGACGTATTATGATATATGATGATACCTTCTTCTCACCTGTTCTTTGATTGACAGTTGCTGTCAGTTCGATTTCAACGTACGTCGGGGCGATCATCGATCGATCGATCAGGTCGCATATGCACAATGAATTGGTCAAAGTCTCGCTCCCGCAGTTTGCTGATTGACCGGCTTTTGCGTCAGATAGGATTTACATAATGGCCTTGTACTGTGTTACTCCCCAACCCGCACCCGTCGTAGAATGCGGCTGGTCACAAGTTTGTACAGCAAAGGTCTAGACCTAAATTACGTAAAGGCTCCGTAGGTGGTTTCCTTCTTAGTTGTCGAACTCACTCATCGTTACTAGGTCGGAATCCTCGCTCGCATACGACAAGGCTCCAATCTGATTGGTTTTCTTCTGAGTTCATGATAATAATGCCGGCCATGCTTTTGGAAGATTCAGATTTTGGACCTTGCCGAGGAGAAATATGGTGATAACAATCGCAGATCTTGAAGGTCGTGATACTACCATTGCAAGCTTCCAAGCCAATGGCAAAGACATCGACATCTATTCCGATGGAGGCAACGAGGATTCAGTGCTGCAGCGTCAATCATATGCGCAGATTTACTTTATTTGTGGTTGGATACATGTAATTACTACAACTAAGTATCGTATCCGAGTCATACACGAATATTTGAATCGTGATCCTCGATTTTGAGTCTTGACATCGCTTATCTACGAGAATTACGAATACCTGAGGATATCTACTGAGGTTGAAACTACTTAGAAGTTGAAACGTTGACCTTTATGTAAGAGCTGTGAGGGAGAAATTTACTACTTATATTCACATACGGGAACAAACAGGACGTGGTGTACAAAGCTAGACAATGTCTCAGCGGACGTGAATAGACAACGCTGAATTAGATCTACCTAGACAATGTCTAAGGCTACATATCAGCAACAAGAGTAAGTACGAGTAGTAGGACATGCATACCTCAGCGGACGTAAATAGACAACGCTGAGGTAGGGCTTCGTGCAAGAAGACATTAAGTATCAAATGAAGACATGTCCGAGACGGAAAGACGTTAACGGTGACAACGTATGGTGTGGAAGGTGCCAAGAGAAGACGTCAAGATGCGATAAGGAATGGAAAAGGAAAGGCTAATCCTCCGGGACTGGTAACACACGTGGGTATCGTATCTAACGTCCAACACGTGGTACCCCTGGCAATGGGGGGATACGCAGTCAAGCACGAATAACTGTCAGTCCTCGTCATGGGTGATATTGCGCGTTTCTGATAGGTATTGATCACGAATTCGTTTGTTGAACAGATCCACATCAGATCTCAAAGCTTGTTTGACTGCTTTGTCATAGCGATCATTGGCTGAGGCAAGTAGAATTATGGAAGGCTATAAAGACAGGGCAGGTTCGACGCACCATACGCGTCTGATACATCCCATAACATGACCCCTCCAAAGGAAGAGTAATCGGACCGAGTCTGATGGATTATTGACGTAATGCTCTTAGAGCTGACATAGCCAGACCCTGCACCGGATGACGCAGGAGCGCCAATATAAACCTTAACATCACGATTGTGTGAGGCACTCTTTGCCCAATGGTCCCTAACAAGGGTTAGTAAGTAAGACATGAACTGGCCCACGTCGGTACACACCAAGTAGCAAAGTTCCAGTCCTGTGCTCGGCGATCTATTGAGGAATAGTACTGGACAGAAACATCATAACTTACCTTGCGATTGTTGTAATGCTGTAGACTGCAATCGTTATTGTCTGTGAGTGATTATCAGCCAAAAAAGCGAGCAACCAGGAAAAAGACGGACAGAATTGGACATATACTGCATCGAATCCCACTGCGTTGAGCGTGTGGCCGATGTGTGCGTCTGGGAAAGGACACTGAGGCGCTGGAGTGAATTTCAGATATTAAACCAATGAATGTCAATCAAAAGCGTTTCGGCTTACCAGCAGTGATATAATACCTGCGCAAACGATATCAAAAACAATGCTCACGGCAGAAGAAAATAAACTTCACTTCTTCTTGCCTCGATCCATATGTTTCCGAAGCGCAGTCAAAAAGGAAACATAGCCTGTTTGCGAGCCATCCTCGATGTCCATGTCAATTCTGCCCTATGTTCAGAAAAAGTCCGAAGATGTGAAAAAACCAACTGACCCATCAAGAATCGCAGATCCAAAGGGACGTGTCTTGCTCTTTCCACCCAGGAAAAGATTCCATATTGTTTGCGCGTAAGCTGCGGCCTGAGAGTCGTCTTGAAACCGGATGTGTCCTGTTCCGCCACCAAGCGAGATGGTGACTGCCTTTCCCGCGGACTGGCACTTCTCGATGTCCGAGGCAAGAAAAGAGCAATCCAGCAAGTCAGTGCCTGGAAAATATTTAGCATTGCCTGAGTTACAGATCTGCACGTCAGCTTAGAGTCAGCATGATTCGGAATGAAGGTCATGGATTACCCACATTCGTTAAGTCAATCGACGGGAGATTGCCCTTCGCATAGCTATCGACAAGGAAGGCGATTGGAAAGGTGTCAATGACATTGTCCTGAAAGACTCGGGGTCAAGCAGCGACTCGAAAATTCAGATAAAAGGAAATTGACCCTGCAGTAGTATGAAAGCGTCTTCTGCCAGTGAGCAGGTTTATCGGGATTGAGGGCTCCATATGAATTCTGGCCCCAGTAGCTGTTACATTTGAAGGTTTGTATCTGACCTGGTAGATAACATAGATATGGCACTTACACGGCCAGCTAATGGAGAACAGATGAGTGGTTTGGATTAAGAAAAATACGCGCAGCCTCACATTGTCGTTAGATAACATGTTGAATGCAACTATTCCGTGGGTCATAATGCCAAGAAGTAGAGACGATAGTGTGAGGCATGAAAAATCCGCAACACCCATAGTTGTCACGGTGCGAATGACAGGATCCAAAATTTCGATGGTGGACTGCCATCGTGCATTCTAGGTTTTTATGCTGGCCCCAAGAATCCCTGTGCTACTTTCAGCTCAGAAGGAACACACTTCTGTCACGAAACCTACCAGCTTCTTCCTCTCTACAAAAACGGTTCGATTCTCCCCCAAATCGACACGAAGCGCGACTCGTGAAATAGGGACAACAGTTGCTGTTGGCAAGACATCAGTGCCATCATGCGATGCGTACTCAAAACTACAGATACGCGGCTTTCCGTTCTTCTCGGATACGTGTCTAGAAGATGGTGTTAGGCGCATTCAATATATACTTATGGCGTGTCATAAATTCAACTCTAGCCAGTTGCTCACCGAGATCTCCAGCTGGCTCAACGCCCAGCGAGTCGCCAGCGTAGCGCATTGTGACGCAAGCATATCGATAGAGGATGCATCAGATGAGTCCGATTTGACAAGTTCTGGTTCTCAGATGGCCATACTTATCGAGCCTGCAGTTAGAGGCGCTGAGTGACTAGTGAGAACTGGTTCAATATGAAAACCAGCTGTAGAAGATGTACTTCTGCATGCCTTCAGTTGGTTATAGATAACTATTTTCCAAAAGATGAGATTCGGGGCCTGAAAGCACGAATGCGATCAGGAAATCGCCTATGATATCGTCGCTTACATCAGTTACGTGGCTTACAGGCTCTAATAGAGCTCGTCGGGCGGCACCGAACTATTCGGGATGGGCCAGTCGCCAGCGTGACGGTTGGATTCAAATCTAACCAGGCTGCCATGCATGATGCCTTGCAAATGACTGTGGTCTGTACCCGATCCAAAGTTCTCTTCCATTTTGTCTCGTTGATTTCTTACCTAAACTTTTCCACTGCCACGCCACTACTGCTACTGTGCATGACCCGCCGCTGGCTGCAGCCTGGCACTTGTACCTCATGTGCGCCGCACGCCGAATATACATTATCAAAGTAGTGCTGCCGCCGGGCGGCCGTTCAGTCCCTAACCTAGGTTCGAACCTGAACTTTTGCGAATAGAACCACCGTTCGGTCAGTGGTTCGACATACAATACAGGACCAAACCCTACCAAGGTTCTTCGTTCGGGCGGGTCTCGGATGGATGTTGGACCCATTCGGACGAGTTTGAACCGGTCCGAACCCATCATTCAAGTTGTAAGTTTGTTGCTTCTGTTCTGCGACTCATGAGGAACAACTGATATGATCCTCAGGCGAAAGATGCTCACTGCCGACACATCAGTACGTTTGCCGGCGAAACCATCACCGGCGCAATTGTCACTGGCGTCCGTCTCACGCCAAGGTTCGTATGGCCATAGCTCGATGCGCGATGCAATCAAAGCTTGTGTCTCACATGACGCAGCTCGTCAAAGGCATCATCATTAAAGCTTCAAGTCGGAATCGCGCTACGCACTTGACTCAGCGGGCCAACAATGAAGAGAAGCGCCGACACGTATGATTGTGGCGTGTAAGTTGGCCAACCGCTACTAGTACTATTGGCCACAGTGTGGCTACAGTGAACAAGAAAAACCATGATGGCGCGAACGAACTTGCCAAGAAAGGCTCACACAATATTTGACTCGACAAGAATTGAGCAGCCTATTGAAGGTAAGTAAGAGTTGACTGTCACGGCACTAGTCCGACTACATATCACTTACCTTGAAGTTCAATTGCACAGTGCAATTCCAAAAGTTGAAGCTAGTAGTAAAGTCGCACTGGTGATTCGAATTTGTAACAATGTAACACATTACGCAAATCCTTCCGTTTGGCTCCCCTGCGCACTAGTGGCTGGTCTTCACCCCAGCACTCTGGTCCCTGGCGGGTCGCAGGGATATGTAAGCATGGCTAGTCTCTCTCGCTGTCTATGCGCTGCGACTTCCACGATGAGATCACCATGTCACTCACGGGAAGGTTTCAGAATCTCGACATCCTCTCCTTGGTCCTCTCTTCACCAGTTGTTATTCCGAGGTCTTTGTCTGATCTCAGTTCGGCGACCGTCCTTGGAGGCTTGGACCACCAAGTACAGCGACCAAGAATGGGACATGCACATGAGCCAGTTGGTAGGGCAAATTAATAGCAATAGTGTTGAGGTAGGTCCAGCTCATGTTCTACTGCTCGTGCTACTTCATCTGGACCACCATTCAGTGCGGAATACTTTCGGCCGCGGCTGCCGTGTTTTTAACGACGCCACCTCCCCTGCAATCAGTCCCAAGTCATGCAACCACTCCTTCATGTGTCCTTGTGCTCGTATCATTTGCTTATGCACTTGGTAGCATTCTCACTGGCACTGCTGTGATAGCAACACGCCAGTCCTGCGGCAGGATCCGGTCAAGGGAAGCAAGCAATCATCTACTAATGTGTACTACTTCCTCTGACGCGGTGCATGTTCTGTCAGCAACACGTCTTTGTTTTTATCTCATCCTGCTTCTCATGGTTTGGCGGTCAGTCTCTGTTTCTGTCGATAATTTTCCTTACGACCTGTCAGTACTAGGTTCATCTTTTCATATCACATCAATGACATGTTTTTGTGGAAAACGATGTTGCACGCAGTGTTAACACCCAGCGTGATCCAGCTCCGGGCTGCGGTGGGGCTGAAGCTTATGTTATGGATATGGGCTTTACCCGCCTTCATATTTACCCCCGCGAAAGCCGCAAGCTGATCAAGGAGCGCCAAATCAAAACACGCCCGCTTCACCACTGAAAGGCTCTCGCATCGATGGCATCTGAAAATGAGGGCTCAGTCTTCAGTCCCGACACTTAGGCTACCTAAGAGCAACTCTGATGACGAGAAGTAATTCATGAACCACTGGTACCGTAGGTCGGCAATTTCGTATGCAGTATTGTTTTTGGCGAAATGAGAAGCACTTTTTTTTGCTTCAGAGTGGGTTCTTTGGGGACATAGACCCTATGTCGGACATTATGAGAAGCAGTTAGTTGAACTGTCGTCCTGGTATGATGCTCCGCCTTGGACCCTCGCTTCAAACAAGTGCCCCCTAACTGACACTGGTCAAAGTATCAACACAACTGCAGATTCAATAACTGATACTCGAATGAAATGTTAAATTCGTGCGCTCGATTGAGGGACGGCAGGATATCATTATCACAAGCCATGGAAGTAAACCGGAAAAGCACACCTGGGTGTATGGTACATTAGTCTCATTGACCCTTAAGCTTGGCAGTCTCCAAGTATCATGAATTCGTTGACAGTATTAGATATTACAGTGTTTACGGACTCCGGACGCGTTCAGTCTGCCATCAGCGCGTTTCGCGTTTCAAACAGCGCCTACAGCGGGTTGAGTCCTAATTCCTCCACGAAGTGCCCATTTGCCAGGTTATTGAGCTTGTCCTCTTCCTTGTCGAGCTTACGAACGACGATCCAAAACAGGAGGCCACCAACGCCCGCAAGGATGGCGCTGATGGCATAGTTCCATACGAGCAGTGGATCCAGCGAGAGTGCTATTGCAATTATGTGAGAGTACGTTCGCAGACGACGACAAATGACGATGACGTACAGACGAAAGCCTCGCCAATGGCGGCTGAAACTGCACTCGTGAAAAGGAACGCAGACATGACCAAACTACGCATGTTCGTCGGTGCTTTGGTGAATGCATACTCGAGACCCGTGATCGACGCAAAAATTTCAGAGAATGCGATGAGCAGATATCTATATGCGTCATCAACATCTATTCACAAAGGTGCAAACTTGGGAAAGTTACTCACGAGCCACTCTGAATCCACACATTCAGGGGGGAAACAAGTGGGTTCTGGTCTGCATCCACGCAGGTTGCAGCGTAGTGCCCACAAGGGTCTGTCTTGTAAATATAGTACTGCACAACGGCAGCCCAGATCATCGATGCAGCTGCCGTGCCGAAACCCCAAGCGATTTTCTTTAGAGAGGTGAACCGGATACCGGCACGTGCAAGTGCTGGGTAGATCTGTGATTGTCATAATGAGACGAGAGAAATTATGTTCCTTCACGATACTTACCACCAAATCACATATCGGGATAAAAATAATGAGAGCCAAGGGATCGAGGTTGGATAGAACGTCGTTAGGTAGGCCATTGGTGGTCATTGTTGCAGCTTGTGAGACCAAATTATTGTTAAGTTGATTGTAGCAGAGCCCTGTGTGGCGTAAAATGAGCTACAAAGGAAGCAGTGTAGAGTGCCAAGTAGGGAGAACTCACAGTAGAGCGGGAACCAGACGAAGACGCCACAAGCTTTGAAACCACGACGGACCTCGTCAACCCACTGGTCGTCGAAGGTCATCCATCTCGGCTTCTCGCCAACTTGCTTAGAGGGCTTGGCACTTTCCCAGAAGTCATCGGAGGTGAGATTTTTGATTGTCTTGTATGGATTCCACGACCATCGTCCACGCTGGGCATACCGCCAAATGTGCAGCGCAGCTGGAAGGACGGAACCTTGCGGTGGAGATCTGCGATAACGACTACGACCATACCAAAGAACCAGGGGAGAGATGCAGAAAACTACAGTGGGCAATGTATAGGCCAGCCAATAGCCAACATACTAGAGCACCGCATAAGAAGCTTCGGAGTTTGTTTTTGGGAACGTACCTTTTCAGCATAAACCATTCCGATCTGACCAATGAGAGCACCAATGTTGATAAAAAGGTAGAAATACTGCGGGTGGTGTTAATGGCAGCTTGAAATGTGCGTTTAACTAGGCCCACCATATAGATTCTCGTAGTGGTCATGGCCGGGTCAACAATAACGCGCTCGCCCGAACTAGTCGTAGCAATGTAACATTTGGTTATCCGATATTGCTCTGCAACCAAAGGGGAGACATTCGACTTAAAGCCGCCGGTGCCAGTGCTAGTGACAACCAGAGATAAGATGAATACGCCAAGTGATGCACGGCTGCCGATGATGCCAGGGATTGAAGATATGATCATGATGAGATGGCCCAACATGGCAACAGCGACACTCCAGCATATTGTCTTGTAACGACCCCAGTAGGTATCAGCAATGTAGGCGCCGGCGATTGGACAAATGTAAGCCCTAAATGAAACCGCAATCAAGGGACTAACAACAAGATATGGGTAAAAGTGCACGAACCAGAACTGATAGAACGTGGTCAAGCCTGTAGACATCTGTTGACCGGCGCCAAGGGCACCAGATTGGCCATTTGCACCACCTGCGCCCGTACGGGAGCCAGGAGGAAGGGGCTGCTGAATATAGTTGACCTGCAAAAGATAGACATGTGTACAACTAATTCATTGGCGAGCAATAAAAGTTCTACTTACGAAAACAACACTAGAGCCTTTGAAAGTGACATATTGAAAATTGGCGCGATGTAATAGCGATCAAGGTGAGCAACATACCATAGTACTGAAAAGTATATTAAGTGAGCGATCATGATTTGACACGAAAATATAAATTCACAGAGAATCGCTCCGCCAGTTCCACGACAGCAATCACTGTGAAATGAATGTCGACTTCAATGTGCTACATTTGCATAAGAGAGACAACTCACGATATGCACTCCATGGAATTTTGTCGGATACACGTCTGAGAGTGAGCATCTCCTCCTCGGTGGGGAACTGCATGCCCTCGTGGATACTGTCAACATCGTCGTCTAAAGAATCAGCAACCATATTATCCGAGAGCTTTTTCTCCGAGTCATAAACAGGGTCACTATGCTGAGTGTCCCGGTCGAAGAAGACCCGCGGTGAGATCATTATTTGCCATCCTGGAGATCAGCAGTTCTGCTGGTGGGAGAGGGCGGAAAGTAAAACGACGAATCCGAGACCTAAGGTGGGTAATCATCTCGTGGCTTTTATGAAGGTAAGTTGGCCCAGAAGTTTCGATATCGATTCATCACTCAACTGAGCTCGAGCCTGTGCTGGCACCGAGATTATGATGTGCAATGCATTCCCTAAAGAGCTTATTATGTAAGCATTTATGTCACTTCCGATTAACTTCCGCACATGTGTTTTTACGTTTCATCATGGCACGATCCGCATGCCCTTTACCGTCTAAACGATGACCAGCCGAGTCCTTCAATCATTATATTGATACACCAGATCCATGGGCGTATCAGCGAACACCACCAGCTATTCCAATGTTGTTGTTGCTTTTGCAAACTCTTGATTCCGCCATAATCGAAAAAGGATTCCACAACCGCCCACATTAATAGTTTTGGCTCTTGGCTCCAAGCCCAGGCACTGATCTTATCTTCGGTCCATGTGAGAGTACTTGGCCGTGTGCGTGCTCGCGTGCGTGCCCAACAACTTCCTTCGGGATCGTTCTATCTTGGTGCCTTGGCAGTTATGTTATGCTTTTCATGTGCTGTAGTTTAGTCCATATCGAAACTCTTGTCGTGGGGTCCTGAGGATCTTGTCCTCACCGGAAGATCGGGTAATGGGTAACCGACATGCTCTCGTCCACCTTTTCAATTCAACAGTGGTCCGCATTGGAGTCGATCAGGTCAATTAAGAACACCTCGTGTTCTATCAGATTGCGCTCTCGAACTTTCCCTTAGAGTCCCACGGTGGGACCGTGCGGCGTGCTACTCTAGTCGGACCAATATGTCTACCACACCCAATGGAATTCCAGCTGTTTTTATATGCATGTCGAGTGGTTTTTGAGATTACTGAACCACTTTGAAATGAGCGGACAAGGTATACACGAGTAGCAAGTGCTGACATGGACAAGTCAAGCGAACACATATTTCCAAATGGCGTCGTAGTTCTGTAAACACTAGGGTAAGCACCATACTCGAGCTGTCTACACTTGTGTCACACGACTACTACCTTTCTTTGGTCTGCTCTGCTGGGGGAGTAGGCTACTTTTGGCGTACATCGATTTCATACGTCATACTTTCTTCCGCTCATTCGCACCGAGGAACACTTCCGAACCTCGCTCATTCGCCAGACGATGATACGACATTCCCCCGCTACTGCTAAGTGAGGAGTGTGATCTCTTTTAGTTACCCGCCCACGCCCAAATCGCACAATCATGGCATCGGTGACAATAACCGTCCCATAGAATGTAGATGTATGTATGATGTGTAACGCCCAGCATTTCAAAAGTTCTATGCAAGCGAATGTCTAGTTGTGTTAGTGAGCGTATTTGGTTGGGCGGGTAAGTAATGGATAGATGAATAGGATATATGAGCCGTGAAATAGTCCCTGGCCAATATAAGTTATAGTTGCAAGACGATAAGGTTAGCTTAGTGTAAGTCCTGCTGAACTAGGAGGATGGGTCAGAAAACAGCTCGAGTTAGCTTAGCACCCGCCAGAATACTATAAATCAGGAATGTGAGCCGCCACATCAGTCAAAACACGAGATCGACGCACCAAGCTGTTCTGCGGTTTTGGATAATTCCACGCCGTAAGGTTGGGATCTAGTGGTGGCATCCATCAGTTTCATCTTCGAAAAGTCGATAAGTTTGACGAACTCATGTATGAATCCATATGCCGGTTGATATAGTCCTCCGTAGGATAGTCTGCGGGACTGCACCCAATATTCGTCTGCCCTTTCCGCTGGTACACACGAACGTAGTCAACGAGCATCTCAGCAGGGAAGATCATCGTGCTTAGATCAATCGTCTGCCAATTCGCTGGAAAGGACGTCAGTGAGTATTTCTACGAGGAAAAAATCTGAACACACGTGATATACCCAAGTTGAGGACAATGGACTAGTAGAATGGATGCGTCAGGCAGAGTGACAAGGGGAAAGATGAAGACACACCATTGGCTCTACAGAGATCAGTCGCTGCGACACGCCTGTGCCATCTGGTAACGGATCAGGACCAAGTGCTGCGGCGCCAAGACGTGCAGACTCGACACCGGCGGTCTGCCATGCGATATACCCATCTGAGGGATTTGAGGGATCCGACCAATACTCGAAGCCTGCAAAACGTCAGACAACCAGGAGGTGAGGTTCGCAAGATTCTTACCCAAGGTCGTGAACTGCGCGCCAGATTCTTGGAAAATATCATCAGGAAGAAGCGTTAAGGCAGATACTGCTTGTTGGCTGGTGGCAGAAGAGATGTTAGTCTCCAAAGAAGCAACATTCATCTGAAGTCGAAACCACAAATCACAATAAAAATAGCACTCACACTGGACTCCCTAGATAACTATTCGCATTTGTGACATTAGGCGTGTTGATGAACCACTCATCCTGGGTGGCATTGAGATAGGTGTAATCGTGCGAAAAGGGCGCAAACTGGCCGGACTGTGAGACGACCTGTCCCGAGCCCAACTTATTATGCTCGACCTCGAGAATATCAATTTCAGGGGCACCACGGCCAACATTCACGGATGGCCCGGGATGATCTCCTCCTGGGCAGGTGCACGACCTGGGTAGAGAGTTAATGGTTTGCGTGTCCAATGTTAAGCATGAACAGTGGGTAGGAGAAGAAGTCGGGTATGACTTACGAGAGGCGCTGTCCCGACAGCCACGATAGCTCATAATTGTACTTGGCCTTCGAGGCGTTTGACTGGAGAGCAGCAGCAGGTCCAGAACCATCCGGCTCTGTCTGGTTCGGGAATGTGCCAACATCACAGGAGTCATAGCTGAAGCAGAGTAAGTACCTGAATCGTTGTTCAAACAATCGAACTCACGAGTAAGGCCATACGCCGTCTGTAGTCGCACCGTATCCCGGACGTGCAAGGTTACCCATCGTCCATGCACCCGGCCACTAAATCGATCCATTAATTAGTACTACATATCCCGAACCACTCCTGTTGAGAGGCATGCCCAGTACACAGCCACTCACATAACCCTGTGTCTCCTGATTCGGCCCTGGTAAACTGATTGACACCTCGATATAGCCGCCCGTAAAGCAAAACTTGTTCCAACTCTGGAGCATACCACTCCGGTAAGGCAAGTCATTCTCAGGGATCTGGTCCATGACGATGCTCAGGTACCCATTGCTTGTTGTTATCTGGGCCGGGTCATACCACTCCTGATCTTCGGTACTCCAGTACCAGATGTTTACGGCTTCCCAAAAAGGATCATCCCCAGGCCAGAAAGTGCGGTTGGGTGTGTTGAATTCGTCCGAGAAGACTAGCTCGTAAGGGAGGCCATCAAAACCTGTCCGCGTCGCAGCACTACTAGGCGTATCAGGATCGATTAGCTGTGCCATTTGGAATCTAGACAGGTACACCGTCAGTCAGGTAGTCCGTATCACACGAAGGAAAATAGAACAACAGGGAAATAGTGAAGTGGGGACGCACAGAAACGGGATCTGGCCGGTTCCATTGACGAGCGCGTTGCCTGCAATCGCATCTTGCTGGGAGCGATCGTGAAAATAACTGAAAACAGGGTAGATGATGAAGAGACTGAGGAGGGCCAAAATGAGGAGGAAGAGCACCGAAACATTGAGGATACCTCTGAGAGGAAAGACGTCGCTTTTGAAAGCGTCGTCGTTAGGATCATTAAGGGGATCATCCTCGTCTGGCTCGTCAAGGGATGGGTCATAGGCGTAGGGTACAAGAGCACCACGTGCATTCCAAGCGCCAGAAGGGTACTTGCTGTCGTATGAAAGTGAGAAAACGGAATCTCCTGAGCCTGTGGTGAAGACTGAATCGCGGTTAGGGAGTGGCCTCGGTGGGACCAATGGACCACGGTTGTCTCCTGCGGCTAGACGATATAGTATCATTGAACCGCGCTGAGCAGAAGGCAGTGAGGCTACGTTGGGTACAGCGAGGACCTGGGAGTCTTCTGAAGCCACGCGATTAAATTGCATGCTTTGGCGAGACTGCGACCGATAACGCGAATTGGTCTGCGGAGAACCTGGGGACGAAATGGGGGGGTTGGGGTTCAAGGGAGAGGATATGTAGTTCAGGTTGGCGTTGTGGGATAAAGAGTGTGTGGGGGTATGTCTGGACTGAGGTGAATCTGGAGGGAGGAGAGGCGTTTCGAAGTTGGACGTGCTGGGTGTTCGCGAGGACAGCATATACGGGGTGACTTCCGAATGTCGTGCTTCATCGCGGTCAACGTACTGGACCGTTTGGCCGTCGTCAGTATCGCGTGGACTGACCATGCGATCTTCACGTTGTGAATCAAAGGTCGTTTCATGCCAAACAGGGTTGTTTGCGGAGCTGTGCAACTGCTCCTTTTCGCCGTTGGAAGAGCTGGTCCGTTCTGCTGCCATTGCACCTATAATTGACAATCCACCGGTGCTGCTCACGATAGCCTCAACACGGTGGGATGCAAAGGTAGAATTAGCAGTTAAACGCCGAAACTTGGAGAAATTGTGAGAACCGACGGCATGCCCGTTCCTCGCCTCCGCCAAGCCTCCGCCTATGCTTAGAATCTTACGGCTGGGCAGGTCCAGATGGCCTTATTACCTACATATTACGAAGTGTACTCACTTTAATTTAGTCCCTCGGCTTTGATGGGTACATAGTTAGTACCATCATACATTCTTTTTCGGCTGACAGGTCCGCATTTCAATTTTTTCTTCTTGGCATCGAGCTTGGCCCATGGCCACTGGGATATTGCAGAGATATCGCTCAACGAGTATGGTCAAAGCAAGCGACATGGCAGGTGGTGACGGTAACTGTACAGTGTATTTTGGGCGTGTGATGTTATTTTATTGATCAGCTCCCGACACTCGATTCCTGGTCTAGTACTGAAGCTCAGTGAAGTTTCTCAAGTATAAGCGACATGTTCATGGCGACTCGCCCATCGAACGTTGCAATTGGGCCCCGGGCAGCTATCATGCATCATGGGCCACCAAGGATTGAATTTCCGCTAGCCATGGCCCATGACGCAAACTGCTCCACCATCTAGAAGTGCTGATAACGGTTCTCAAGGACTTTTCTCAGGCTGCCACAGTACCGGCGCACGATGTTGACATATTTGTGATACTTCACGCGCTCGTATCACCAGTGCCTTCCAACGCCATTACTATCATTTCGACAAGTGCATCCACAAGGAAAATAGCAGTGGCACAGGTATGTAGTATGCACGATTGAATATGAATGCTCGTTGCTGATACAAAAGAATTATCTTCATTGGCTGTCAATGTTGGTGCGAATATTATTTTTGTTTTGCTTCTACGCTAACTTGCCTAAATGAGGTTGATACATACTCTCATATTCGCGTCCAATGACTGCTAAATTATGCATATGAGGAAGGTGGCCCAGTTTTTCCTACCCAAACCTATAGTTCAAGAAAGATCGTCGTTCCTTCTCATACAAAATCGCACGGTCGACGCCGGCCGAGGAAGAAGACGTACATTTCCTGACCAGTGCCGTCATCGAAGTCTTCGTCATGGAAGATGTCAGGGAGCTACCATCAGCCACGATTACCGAAGCCGTCCTTCATAGGTCAAACTCCCAGCTGCTTAGGCTATGCGACTGCTGGACTAATTAATAACCTTGGGTTTGAGTTGCCTGGCATGCAGCAATGGCGCTTCGCTTCGTCGGTTGAAGGAAAATGGGCTGGTGAGGGGCTGGATTTGTTGAACAGTCGTTCTTTCTATGTATGTGTTAACGAAGCCTGCCAGTCCAGGGTCTTTCTAAATCGTTCGTGGGAAGGAAATTACTCGACCGCTAGTCCTGCTGACTCGAAGATGCAGATGTCAGCATCGGTACATGGATCATGGAAAGCTTATCGATATCAAGGAAGTACAGATCGTTATCTTGTGGGAGACCAAGCAGATAAGTTGCCGCTCAAGCCCCGTGACGGTGCGACAACACATTGCTACCGGAAGTTACCAAGGACACTCATCAGCTAGCGATCGTTCGAACGTTTAGAACGTTCGATCTGATCCCGCGATGTGCAAGTTGCAAAAAGTAACAAAAACGGAAGAGAAACCCGGTCTGCGGTTGATCACAGAATAGACTGATGCGTGATAGTATCAGCCGCGTGTAACCCATATTCTTTTCCAATTGGGTGGTGAAGTCACTAAAATGAAGGAGTCATTTTGGTAAATTATGTGATGGGCTTTAGGCCAAGCGCTCGAGCTAAAGTTGCAATGGAAGACGGGCAAAATCAAACAAGGGGTAGTCACGTGTCACAGCGCTGTTTCGCATCAGTGCTCCTCACAGCTTGATCCCCGTCAGAAGTTCAGAATCTTCATCCGCAGTGCACAGTGTACATGTTCGAAATAATATGTGTCTGCTAGAATTCAAGTCGACGAGGCAACCAAATACCTAGACCCGAATAATTGCCAAGCGCTACGTCTTCGTGGAAGCTTCGCTACCAATGGGATGTTGCATATCGGGCATACTTGTTTCGAGCGGCACGTCACCGGTGTGTGGTTTTTTGCCTCCTTGACAACGATTCGTGCTTTTTGGGCAGGCTTTCGGTGGCTCATATCGATAATTGTCTGCGCTGACGCCCGATTTTGCATTCATAATTTTCCCTTCCTGCTTGTCTCGACGAGGGGGCTTGACCCTCACAGCGAACCCACTCGATGCAAACGCGCTTTCAGGATCACCTAGTAGTAGAAAAGTCGTCATCGCTCCTGGTGGCTCTATACGCACGGCCAAATTCGATCGCAGTCCGACTGACATTGCTCCTCCTCTCACAGAAATCTTCTAATCGCGTCCAACGATTTTTCAAAATCACAAGCCCGTTAATTTGGATTCGCGAGAGTCCATGACGATCGTTCGCCCTGGACAGCCTTTTGGCGCAGTTCTGCTAGTGGAGCAGCAACGTGGTGGAGAGTATGAGATAATCGCGTCGGATCATAGTGACATCGCATGGGGCAAGGACGTGACTTCTGTTGATGATATCACAGTCGTTAGGATGCTAGAGATGTTGTGGTATGCATTTTGACGTATGCATTTTTCTGACGCGTTATCATTCATACCCTGACGGTACTCGCATGGGACAATCTCCCTAGGCATTTGTATTATATCGATACCAATCATTTGTCACACATTAGTTACGGTGCGTCCTTGTTATCGTCGTCGCTTTCACTTCCACCCGCAACAAATCATTCCTACAGGAACTCCTTGCTTATTCGGCTTCGAATTGAGCTCTGCAGCATGTTTGCGAGCCGACGCCTGCAAAATTCGCTGCAGGTTCTGATTCCTGACTCGCCAATGTCATTGTGATTGGATGGGACCAACGTCCCTGTGCCTATCCTGAATCATGCTACGGACATTCCATATGTATGTTTGTCTCTGTGAACCCCCCTGAAAATACATGTTCCTAGTAAATGGACCTATAAGACACAGGAATTCAACGGAAAACACTGGATGCTGGCCGTTCTCTTTAATGCATCTTTAGGTTGGCCCTTGGCAGGTGCGATTTTGATTGAACACTGATAGCTTTATTATGTGTTCAGATCATGTGATCACCGGGTGTAAGAACGCGAACACTACGTACATGTTAGCCAAATTCTACACAAGTACAGTACTCACTTCAGCCGTTGAGCAAACGACTGAGGAAGAGCAAGTATTCCAAAGTCCAAAACATCGACAAACAATACTACCGAGGTCGCAATCATATCACTTATCGACAGGGTGCATGTCACAATCACTCCTAACTCTTATGCGACCGTCGATGCTGACCTGCTGTCCATCGTGCTTTCGCCCTCATTTCAAAATTTTGGGGCAGCTGCATTGTGGGGTGTTCGCCGTCACAAATGTCGAGGACACAGGACAAAGGGTTCTATCGCTTCATTCAGCCTCTTTTACAATATGCGCGCTTATTTTCTGTCCTTGAGAATTTTATCACTGGCTCCGAATGGACATGCCATTAACATGCCTTTGTGCCGTATATTCCTTCCATCCCTTCACTCGCGTACATCCATTTTAATCCCGATCAGATTCACGTTCTCGGTTCAGTTCGGCGCCGCGTAACTTCCGAAATTCTTGTCCAGGAAAATAGCGCGGGCACTTCTAGCCAGCACTTCAGCAATCCCTCAACCGACGATATGTGATCGCACTTTGACTTTTTATGGAGCGTTCAAAGCCGAGCACCAAGCCTTGCTTGCACGGTGCGTGTCGATTACATTCCCAGATCGAACTTAGGCTGGTACTTACAGAGTCTTGCACGGGAAATTTCCAAGTTCATAAGGCGTTTAAGTTATGAGCATAGTTTGTCCCCTCTGAAACATTGCCTGTCCCTTCAGAGATGCTTTGGGCAGAATCGTGGTGCTGTGAAAGTCATACAGCTACATTTGCCGTTCCTCCTAAAAGTATTAGCGCTCATGTGAGTTGTGACAGAGGTAAGTAACACGTGCATTCGAAATTTCATGTCCTGCAAGACTGAAATGAAGTAGCGTAGCGCCATCAGATCTTAGGTGCAGTCAACGTGAGGCATCATAAACCCTTTGCATAGCCTATATATCCTCGCAATTGTTTCTGACCCACACAAGTCGGTTGCCCTTAGTGCTGCTCATGTCTAACCCAAGTCAGAATATTCGAGTTGTTAGTGGGTACTCACAGTCATCACGGCTACACTCTGCCACAGATGAGAGCTTTTTCGACAAATTTCCACGCAAATGGAATGCTCCAGAATCCTTTATTCCGCGGTATATCTTCAAAATGTGCTGCCTCATATTCACCTGGCGCAGCGATCTGCACTGGTTGTACGACTTCCTGAAAGAAGGAAACAACTGGGAAGAGCTGCATCGTCAATATCTGACCCAGCTCAATCAAGTGAGCACCGTGGTACGTCGTTGATGGGCATTATTCGTTCAAATTAGTCGCATTAATGTGTTCTTGCGCAGCAAGCACTCGTGCTTACAACTGCAGCGGTTTTTATGTCCTCAAAACCACCACTTGTGGATGATGTCGACTACTCGTCTCCTGCATCTTACGCCTGTTTGGCGGAATCCCTTGTCTTCTCGTTGTTCGGGCTATTGTTCCAGCTGAAGGTTTCTGCCTCTGGATTCATTTTTCAAAAACGTAGTGCTGCAGAAGTACGCATTGTCCATTGTCAGGGTGGCAGGTCAGAGTTGACCTCATCACAGATCATAATTGAGAGACGCTGGAGAATATTCTGGCACCTCCTGAGTTTGGTAGTGCCAATCATTATCTTTACCATATCAGTGGTGCTTTTGCTCATAGGTGGGCCGTTCACCTTGTAATGCGTCATCGCGACTCACGAAGTTCATTATCAGCCATCGTGCTCACGGGGTTCACATCTCACTCCAAAACTGTCCAACTTTATCTGAGCATAACATTTGCTTTCCTTGGCGCTTGTCATTTGGTGTCGATTCTGGGTTCACCATTCTACTACCATTTATCGAACCTATGCATCCGCGTTGTTCACGCCACGAGTGGTAAAAGACCTCAAAGAGCGGACGAATCTTGAACATCGGTACTGGATCCGGCGGTTCCGCAAGGGTACTGGCAGGTGTTCTAGTGATTACTCCTCCAATTGGGCATTCAGTGGTATCGTTCCCTCTACGAGTCTAAATATCTATGCCTTCGATAGCTTGACGCGGGTCCTTTATCCTTGAATCATATCAATGTAACCTCGATAGTTGTGTAAAAAATTTGCATGCCTACACCTGGCGTATTACGAGCCCTCTCACCGTTGCGAGTCCTGACTCCGGACTCCTGACGCAGGCCCTATAGCACGACCCCAGGTGTCTTCATGTCCACCTAATGGATCAAATATTTAGATAGCCAATTTAAGGATTTGAAACGCATGTTTGCTTTTAAGAAAAGCGCCAAGAAACCGTGACTCTGGTCTCCAATGACTTCGCTAGCCTCACTCACCAACCACCCATTGCGTCAACCATCATCATGTCGTTCTCAAATGCACCGGCTAATATAACTCCTCCTCCCAAACCGTCTACCACTGCAGACTTTAACAAACAACACCGATCTTCATCAAGCAGCGAATGGACTACATCATGACAACGGACGAGATCGTCTCCCCTGATGATCAGAAGCGCCGTCTCTATACAGCGGCATACGATTACCGTTCAGCCTATTCGCCTTATCATGATATTTTCAGTTCAAGTAAGTGTCATTGACCTGTGGTAAATACTGATAGAGATGGCCATTAACATAACAAGGAGACATGGGGACTAGAAGGATATGATACTCACGCAAAGTTCCGCTCATGTCCTTTACACGATTGTCGACGAATTGTAGGCAGCCGTCACATAAAAGATATCCAGTCGTGCAGCGTTTCATGTTTTGCGAGAAAAAGAAGGCTCCAACTAGAAAATGGTTTAGCGAGAATGACGATTTCCTGGAGCTTTTCGGTAGCAACCTGCTCCCTCACTTTCAGAACTCTCACCTTTTCTGTTAAAGTGCCAGTGATGCCCGCCTCTCCGGTTGTCCGACGTTCATAGGTGTCATATTCAGCACCCCGAACAGTAACCCGGGACTACCTTCATGCCATCGAGGATCACCAGGAATGTTAATCAGGCTCAAATCACGAAAAAGAAAGATATACGACACTTATTGCGAGACGGCATGGAAGAACACGAAGAAGTACTCGGGTTTGGCGCATTGGTTGGAAATCAAATGGGTAATAATCGTCTGCAAGGATGACGAACAAAGACGTCAATCGAAAGATCAAAGCCTAGGCTGTATTTGATTTGCGGCGTGTTACTGCGGCTTTCAAAGGATCAGGATGACCAGCAAGTGTGTTTAATTCATACTAATGAGGCCTTGAGGAGAAGAGTGATGGAGATTGCAATGCGGAAGAGCTGCTTGAGATCAATCGGATGGATGTGTTTAATAGGTCCAGTGCTGCGGGAAGCTCGTTGGATGATTGCAATTTGGAATGCAGTTGAAGGGAAGACGAGTGGTAATTATACAGTTGTTGGTTTTCAGCCGATGCTCGTCTCAAGATTCCCGTGCACACAAGAGGGCACAATGTTGAAGCTGTGGTCAGTAGTACTTGTAGAATGATGAGCGTTCTCCTCACACCTCAGGAGGCCTCAGGCTTAATGGTCCAGACTCCACATATCAAGATAAGACAGAACCGTTGGTGCGCGAGGTTGGCCAAAGATCAGATATTACGCGTTTAGTAAGAGCTATGTACTCCGAGTCGTAAGTCGATTTCAAGTAAACCCATGGTGATGTTGACAACTGTTAGGTTGAAGTCGAAGTCCGACTCGAACCACAAACACCCCACATACTAATCCCTATACCATGACGCAGAGCATCCAGTGACTCGCATTCATAATACGTTGGATGCATGACATTATCATTTTATCATTGGCAATATAAGCCATGAGCTTATCCGCACTGCCAATTTAACAGCTCGAAGGTTCGTCATTCGGAGCACCGTGACGGGGAAAAGGTATGTTTAGTCCTTTCTTCCCATGAGAATCGTCATTTCTAGTTGTTCATGTGCCCGTTGTCCAGCGTGATCACTCCTAAGGCTATAAGTAGCCCAGTGTAGCCTACTGTGCTCAGGTTGACCGTTATCGTTTGCACTTCTTCACAACTCCCTCGTAATGCCATCCACATTCATCAAGACTTTCGACACCCCTGCGTACAAGGGGACTGTTACGATCCCTCTAGGTCTCTACATAAACGGAGAGTTCGTCGACCCTGTTGAGGGTGGCACAATCGAGTAAGTGTCTTCCTAGTACACTCGAACGTCGGTCTCATTCGTATAGTGTTGTCAATCCTGGTACGGATTCTTTCATCACAAATGCCTCGTAACTTATTCTTGCAGCAACGGGCAAGGTGGTCACTTCCATCGCAGCCGGGACGAAAGCCGATATAGACATTGCTGCGAAGGCAGCGAAGAAAGCCTACAAGTCTTCATGGGGCCTGAAAGTTCCTGGAGCTCAGCGCGGAAAGCTCATGTCGAAGCTCGCCGTTTTGATGGAGGAACATATTGCGGAGTTCGCCGCTCTCGATGCCCTTGCCAATGGTATGTACTCCTGCGCCGCCGACACTCTTGAGTTGACGAAGCAACTCATACTACCTTGCAGGAAAGGCTTACAATACCGCGTACAGTCGAGACAACAAAGGAGCGATTGCAGTCATGGAATACTATGCTGGCTGGGCTGACAAGATCAATGGGAAGACTATCGAGGTTCGGTTTTTTTCTCTCTTTCGCATCAGTTAAACCCATTCCGCCCTAGACCAACGAAAACAAACTAGCTTATACCAGACATGAACCCATCGGTGTTGTGGTAAGGGTTTCTCTCTCAATGCTATTTGATTGGGACCTCACTTCATGCCCAGGGTCAAATTATTCCATGGAATGTTCCGAGTGAGTGGATTCAAAGAGCGTGCGGGACTACAGTTCACGTTAGCTAGTGTTCTCTCTTTCTCTCAAGATCGCTCCTGCGCTGGCCACCGGCAATACTATCGTCCTGAAGCCTTCTGAACTTACTCCGCTTTCTGCTCTTCTCTTCTGTACCCTGATCGAGGAGGCGGGCTTCCCTCCAGGTGTCATCAACATCGTGAACGGATATGGTCCAACAGCAGGACAAGCAATCTCCGAGCACCCTCTTATCGAGAAAGTTGCTTTCACTGGTAGCACTCTGACGGGGCGGAAAATTATGGAGGCTGCTGCGAAGAGCAACCTGAAACCTGTCACCCTCGAGCTTGGCGGAAAGAGCCCGAATGTCATCTTCGATGACGCCGACCTGGAGCAAGCAGTCAAGTGGGCGATTCACGGTATCTAGTATGTTGCCCCCTTCACATTTTCTATACTGGTTCTCATCGTCGTCGTAGCTTTAACCACGGCCAGAATTGTTCTGCAGGTTCCCGTATATTTGTTCAAGAGGGCATATACGACAAGTTTTTGGACCAGTTCACAGAGCAGGCACGCGCGATCAAGGTTGGCGATCCCTTTTCACCCGACACGTACCAAGGGCCACAGGTGTCCAAGACTCAGTTCGAGGTTCGTTTACTCAATTTCTTTATGAAACATACTTTGACGTCCGCGAAGCGCATCATGGGATACATCACCTCCGGCAAGAACGATGGTGCTACAGTACACCTCGGTGGCAAGCAGGTTGGCCAAGAGGGATACTTCATCGAGCCAACGATTTTCACGGAGTGCCAGCCCAATATGAAAATCGTCAGAGAGGAGATATTTGGGCCCGTCGCGTGCGTCTTGAAGTTCAAGACCGAAGATGGTGAGACTGTCCTTGTTGCATGATCATCGTATCCCTAACAACTTTCCAGAGGTTGTTGAACAGGCTAATGATACATCATATGGACTTGCGGCATCGGTGTTCACTAAGGATATCGACAGAGCAATCCGCGTTGCGCACGCTCTCGAAGCCGGCACTGCATGGGTTCGTTGCTTCGTCATCTCATCTTGCGCGTTTGTGTGTAATGACGCCTGGCAGATAAACTGCGCCAACCAGACTGAAATATCAATGCCATTTGGAGGCTTCAAGCAGTCGGGAATTGGACGTGAACTGAGCGAGTATGCTTTGGAAAAGTAAGCTCATGTCCTTTAAAACGACGCCGCACTAATGATACTCGTTTTAGCTATACGAACGTTAAAGCCGTTCATGTCAACATTGGCATTCGATTGTGATCGTTTAGGACTCTCGCATCTTGTATCATTAGTACAAATATCATGCATACATCCACTAACCAAAGGCGGGCTGGAGAAAACTGATTTGATCTCTGGCCAGGGTTTCTTCATGGATGTGTTTTTTTCGTACCACAATAGCAATGCAAGTAAGAGACTGCTAACACATGTGCGGTATATTAATACGGAATGATACTTGTCCGAGACCACACCTTCGCTCTTTTCTGAGTCATTTCATTCATATAACCCAATGATCTCAAAAGGCATGTGCTGCTGCTTCAGTGTCAATTATGGAGATTTTCAAAGTCATTTCATTCGCATCAACTGCCACTGTGCACACCTTGTCATTATCATTATGGAGACCACTATTCTTGATATCATATATGAGGTCGCATGCATGCAGAGACTTTCAAATTCTCATCAACTGCCACTGTTATGAGGTTGCAGTTGCATGCATAGCATACAACATTTCTCTATCAAAAATTGACCCCGCATGCAGTGGCACTCTAGGACTTTTGTATATAGGTTGAGGTTAGGAGGGGTTAGTTTACAGGGTTTGAACTAACTAACCCTCCAATGGAACATGTATCATTGGAGGGTTATATAATGCTTGTATATCCTATAACCCTCCAATGGAACATGTGTCATTGGAGGGTTATATAATACTTGTAGATTTGATGACTATAACCTCCAATGGAACATGTGTCATTGGAGGGTTATATAAGACTTGTAGATTTGATGACTATAACCCTCCAATGGAACATGTGTCATTGGAGGGTTATATAATACTTGTAGATTTGATGACTATAACCCTCCAATGGAACATGTATCATTGGAGGCATGTAGAACACTTGTAGATTTGATGACTATAACCCTCCAATGGAACATGTGTCATTGGAGGGTTATATAATACTTGTAGATTTGATGACTATAACCCTCCAATGGAACATGTGTCATTGGAGGGTTATATAAGACTTGTAGATTTGATGACTATAACCCTCCAATGGAACATGTGTCATTGGAGGGTTATATAATACTTGTAGATTTGATGACTATAACCCCTCCAATGGAACATGTATCATTGGAGGCATGTAGAACACTTGTAGATTTGATGACTATAACCCTCCAATGGAACATGTGTCATTGGAGGGTTATATAACACTTTGTATATTGACAACTATAGCCCTCCAATGGAACATGTGTCATTGGAGGGTTATATAATACTTGTAGATTTGATGACTATAACCCTCCAATGGAACATGTGTCATTGGAGGGTTATATAACACTTGTATATTGACAACTATAGCCCTCCAATGGAACATGTGTCATTGGAGGGTTATATAATACTTGTAGATTTGATGACTATAACACTTGTATATTGACAACTATAGCCCTCCAATGGAACATGTGTCATTGGAGGGTTATATAATACTTGTAGATTTGATGACTATAACCCTCCAATGGAACATGTGTCATTGGAGGGTTATATAATACTTGTAGATTTGATGACTATAACCCTCCAATGGAACATGTGTCATTGGAGGGTTATATAATACTTGTAGATTTGATGAACTATGACCCTCCAATGGAACATGTGTCATTGGAGGCATGTAGAACACTTGTATATTGACAACTATAACCCTCCAATGGAACATGTGTCATTGGAGGGTTATATAATACTTGTAGATTTGATGACTATAACCCTCCAATGGAACATGTGTCATTGGAGGCATGTAGAACACTTGTATATTGACAACTATAGCCCTCCAATGGAACATGTGTCATTGGAGGGTTATATAATACTTGTAGGTTTGATGACTATAACCCTCCAATGGAACATGTGTCATTGGAGGGTTATATAACACTTGTATATTGACAACTATAACCCTCCAATGGAACATGTATCATTGGAGGGTTATATAATGCTTGTATATCCTATAACTCTTCAATGGAACATCTGTCATTAGAGGGTTATATAATACTTGTAGATTTGATGACTATCACCCTCCAATGGAACATATGTCATTGGAGGTGTATAGAGCACTTAGGGTTAGTTAGTTGGAGTTAGGGAGCTAGAGAGCTAGAGGTTAAAATTGGTATCCTTGGGAGGAGTCACCTAATATAACCCTCCAATGGAACACATATTAGTGGAGATAGTTAGTATGTAGACTAACATATGCCAATGTAGTTAGAGTTAGAATTGGTTGTCCTAAGTGGAATCACTAAATATAACCCTCCAATGGAATATATGTCAATGGAAGTTAGTAGAATACTTATAGGTTGACTACTATAACCCTCCCATGGAAGATGTACCAATGCAGGGTTAGTGAGTTAGAATTGGTTTTCTGAGAGGAGTCACCCTAATAATCTTCCAATAGAATCCTAATAGGTTGGTTAACTAAAATCCTCCAATGAAACATGTGTCAATAGAGGTTAGGAAGTTAGACTTCATATCCTAGGGTTAGTCACCAACAAAACCCTCCAATGCAGGTATATAGAATACTTATAGGTTGACTATTATAACACTCCAGTAGAACATGTGCCAAGATGTTAATTGAGGTATATAGAACACTTATAGGTCTGTCACTATAACACTTCCAATGAAATGTGTTAGCAATAGAGAGTTAGAGAGTTAGAGTTGGTATCCTCAGAGAATCACTGAATATACACTTCCAATAGAATACATATCAATGGAAGTATGTTGAAAACTTATAGGTTGACTATTATAATTCTTGAATGTAGGGTTAGCTAGGGTTAGTTAGAGTCGGTATTATAGGGGGTTTGACTTATATAATGCTCCAGGGTTAATTAGGTTTAGTGAGTATAATCATTCAATGGAATACATGCTAATGAAGGGTAGAGAGTTGGAATTGGTTTCCTGCGAGGATTTATCCATTAAACCCTCCAATGGAACATGAGCTAATGGAGAGTTAGTAAGTTGAAGTTGGTATTCTATGGAATATTATAAAGTATATAGAACACTTATGTGTTGACTACTATAATCATCTATTGAAACATGTAGATACTAGAACTCTAGCTCCTTTTTAGAAGGCTAGCCTTTGATACAATATAAAGATATATACAAAGGATTTAGAAAGTCTATGGTAAATCTAATGGATTAACAGAAATGAAGTTAGATATAAAGACATTGAACAATTAGTAAGCAGGATGGAACAGAATACCATCCAAATAGCTCCTGTAGTTAGGGTGTTAGTAGAACATATGTCAATGGTTAGGGTGAGAAAATAATTAAAGATGTAACCCAATATAAGGATGGTGAGCTTCCCTGTGATCAGAGCAAAGAACTAGTAACAGACATATTCACAGCAATATGGGTTAGTTTTTAGGGTGAGTTAGCAGGAACAGGTGTCATGGGTGCCTAATAACAATACAGACACTCACTGTATGTTAGGTTACAAAAGAGATAACCAAATTCATTGATATCAATACCAAAGTACTGTTTCCTACAGATGGTGTACTGAATGTTGATTGACTTGACAGCAAGTTGAAATACATGCCTCCACAACTTGCATCTGGCCCATACTAACAGGTAGCTTACTAGTTCTTACTGGAGTCACAAGATATATTGCATTGAACTAGGAGGCAGTAATCTTCTGGAGGTCAGACCTTGCAGATAATATTAGGGTTATTGAGAACCTCCACTGTCATTGCACACAATTTACCTACAATTGCATCTCCAATCACACTAGGCTTGGTAGAATCATCCCTGGAAATATATGGCACCAAAGTTTCATCCACCTGCTCAGGAAGAAACCAGACCATTGTCCTCAATGCTGCCCTGATTCAAATTAGTTATCTATCAAGGAAGTTGTGTACAATTCTTGCTAGCCAATGCTGGTAGTGAAACACACAGCAAGTGATTACCCTATCCCATTGCCATGGTTCATTCAGGGATTGTAGTATGTCCTATCCACTAGTTGGATACAATCCGGGAGGGATCTCCCAGATCTGTGACATCATGAAACTGAGATAAGTGGAATGCAAGGAACCGAGTTCCAGATGAGCTGGAGAAAAACAACTGCAGAATATGAGTGACTGGGCTTGGAATAACTGAAATGATGTTCCTTGCAGCTGAGTACTGTAGAATCGGTGTCACAAAAGTCTGGGGGAGATCTCAGCATTGACCACCACAGTCATCAGTCAGATTGCTTACAGTGATCTCCCATTGTAGCCCGGCTTTAAAGTAGATGATCTGAGGCAAGGAATATTAGTGTGGGCAGCCTCTGTCCGATATTGAGCAAGACATGCCCTAATGTGCGATGCAGCTATTGACAAAGTTGCTGCAATATCTGCAAGACTCAGTGTGAGGGGTTAGAATTCATTGCCGAAATCCTCAGAATCAGAAGAGGATGGAGGTGAAGGTAAGTCAGGCATAAACAAAGCAGGAGTTGGATGCTGGCAATGACAATGACAGTTGTTTCAGATTTGAAGGTATGAGCCACTGATGGGTGGAAAAGAAATTCAAACTCCAATGTGGTCTGATCTAGCCAATTCAGAGACTCAATGTTTTGGGGCAAAATAGCTGTTTTATATCATTGGCAGAACATATTTAGTCATCTCGAGCATCTATCAATATGCTTTGCAGGTCTTCAAGGCTTATAAGGCCTCGCATTGTTCTATGGTCATCGCTAATAATAGGTGAGTCAATACTAATTCTATAAAGATATTAACTTGTGGTGCACCTTGCAGACATTCTTTTCTCCAGACCTGCATGCTTGTGGCTCACTGTAACAGAGCCCTAGGCCCCATACGCTGCATTGGTGGCCACACAGTGACCACTCTGATCACGCTTCAAGCTTAACTGATAAATCTTTTGACTACACAGTCCCATTTGATTGTGAGCTTTCGACATGGCCATGGTATTGACTAGAAAACAATCATCATGTTTACTGACAGGTGAGCTTATGTATGCACATGACGTTAAATATCTTACCTGCCTCTGAGCTTGCTTTCTGTCAGCATGAAAATGAACTCCAGTAATTTGACACCATCTCAAATGTCAAAGATGAGTACAAGAACAAGTGGGGGTCTAGAGGAATTTATGTGGGCTATGAAAATATCAGGTAAGCTTCAATGTTTGTTTGTTGTATCCTTATCAATGAAATCAGACATCAGTTTCGACTCTGTCACATATACAAAGAAGACCATTGAGAAGTCTGTCACTTTCAAGATCAACAACCAGTCTCCACTGCGATCCACAACACCAATGTCTACCATTGATCCTGCTGATTCTATCCAGTCCTCTGGTTCACATTCCAGATCCCCTATGGACACACTTATCCACCAATTCAACCCCACCACTCAATGCTATACCATATGACCCATACATCCCCCATCCAGACAAGCTTCATCCTCTACCATCAGTTCCTTCGCACCACACGCCTTCTGTGAGAACGCCCAATTCAAACTTCCACCACCATTGACATCTTCATATTCGACGACCCCACCAGCACGTGTTTTTCGGCAGCCCTGTATACATACCGCGCCCCCAGCAACAGCACTTAGCGCACGAGCCAACCATACGCCAGTGATTGCTGGCGTCGATTGAACACGTGCGGAAGGCACCCCCAGCCAGGAGAAAGAAAGAGAGAAAGGATGGGATGAGATGGATGAGGAAGAGGAGGAGATGAAGAAGTTGGAAGGAAGAAAAGATGGTGCTCGAGACGAGGATAGACCAAGCCCAGTGAGTACTGGCCCACCGAGAACCAGTTGCAACACACACCTTCACTTCCCTGGCTCACACTGCGAGTGCCATGTCAAACGTGCCAATGTCGGCACCCACCACTTCGCACACACCGGTACTAGTGCCCACCACCTCGTTTTAGTACCCACCAGCACACACCGTCTCTATTGCCCCATTCAACCCAACACCAGCTCGTCCCCAACGACCCGCAACATCTAGTATACGGCCCAGTGACACGTCAGTGAATGCTGACGTGAACCAAACGCATACGAACATCGATCAAAAATGCCGGGACAAGAAAAGAAGCAGAGGAGAGCAGGAAGGAGAGGAAGGGATGGGGAAGAGGAAGGGAGCAGACTGTTTTTGACATGAGGAAAGAGTAGAGCCAGTGAGTGCTGACCTTGATTGCACCCCAGAGCAAGACCTGGCCCTCAACGACTAACTACCACGCGCACTTCACTATCCCCAGCTCCCATCGTGACCACTACGTTACCCAAGCCCATTCCCACCCCCACCATGCCATTCTCGTCGCCCATGCACCAAATGCTACGGACACCAGCATCACCAATGGCCAGACCACCATCTGCAGCCCCAGCTCCACTCCACCAGCACACAGCATCATACGCGAACACCCAGTACGCGTCAGCGATTGCTGATGCGACTTGAACGGACGCAGATGGCACTAGAGAGTGGGAGGAAAGAGGTAGAAGAGAGGAACGAGAGGAAGAGGAGGAGAGGTCAGGAGGAGAGAAAGAAGAGAACAAGGGAGAACTGCAGGGCAAGGAACGTGTCACCAAGGCCAACGACCCACCCCAACGCCATGCCACCATCCTTGGACCATTACCAACAGCATGCCCAAATCACTGCAGGCATTTTCCTATTTTTCTCCAACAAACATCCAAAAAAATATTGATTGAGAAGATAGAAATTTCCTCTCATGTTGCCTGTCAAAACATTGAAAAAATCAATTCACGTGTTGAAGATTTTCTGGCCATGGGACATGATGCAAAAATTGGACATGTTCCTTCAAGGATAATACTGGATTTTCTATCTATTGTATTTTAAATAGCAGCCTGCAATAATGTTGAATTTTTTGTCCACTTGGAGCAGATGACACTTACCAAAAAACAGTAAGTTAGTACACAAAATATCTGGAAATAAATTAGATCTGAAATGTTGACTAGGATGCATGACACACATCATTTGTTGATCAGCATGATGTGTGTGGTTTTTTCTACACTACTGCAATTGTGTCACGCCATAGGATTAATTAGAAATTATCACAATCAAGGTACACAATGTATAGGCAGCCCTGCAGCAGTGACACCATGGATCCAGATGTGCTCATTTCATCTTCAGGTATGCAAATTTCATGCTTAATGTTTCCACCCTCACATTGCTCTTTTTTTTTGAAGACTGTCAGTCATTGGCATTGTGATGGCTCTAAAATTTAAAGCAGGTATGTACCTGTAATACACCAACACTGCTGTGACACCCTAGACCACAGGAATTCTTCTGAGTCAATGGCACTACAAAAGCAAACTGGCTACAGTGTACTACTTATGGTGGCCCAGGCAGGAATAGAATAACCCCAAAATCAATGCAGTTCATATCTAACACACAAAATGCTTTAAATAAGCTTCATAGTGCCTTTGCTTCCCTCAGCCACAATGTCCAACTCAGTAAATTCTGACAGGATTGAGGGTAATGCATATTTTTCCAACTTGAGCCCTCTGCACTGGTCTCTTTCTTTGTAGGTTGTTTGATTGCCCAGTATGGTAAACACAACAAGAAGAGAACTGTAAAGCACTCTTCAAATGTTGGGTCAAAATTGCTATGCCTAGCTGCTATTTGACCCTAAAGGATTTTTGTACTAGACTCAGAGCTCAGAGAGTAGAAATATCATCAAGCAAAAGACTGTGATTTAGACTGGTACTGACAGTGGTGAAAGGGAGACCTGATTATGTAAGTAGTAAAAACATGAACATAAACTAAGGAAGGTGGAGGTAAGTGATGGTAAGTAAAACGAGGGTAATATCAGTCCAGGGAAAACTATATTGTCACACTAGAAAGCCTTGCTCAGTGTCTTAAGGATGCCCCCACTACCAATGTAGAATTCATTGGGTACTTGCTACTCAGCACTCAGCCCACACTTTACCCTCTTTATATGAGTATTTGAATATTTTAACAATGGATTCAGCATGTCTGATGATGAGCAGTGTCCACCTGCTGATCTGGCCAAGGTAGGGAGTTCTATTTTATTGGTGCTATACTCTGCTGACCTCTCCCAGCTCCAGCCAGGGCTCACCTTGGTCACTTATCTCTCAACCCTAATGATACATAGTCCAGTATATGAATCACCAGAAACTGAGGTTCCCGTGTATGTCACTGGGAGAAAAAGACAATGTCTCCTTGGAAAACATTCTGAAGACATTGTGAGGAGTGGCACATTTTTTCTGTCTCAATTACCCAACATTATCCTAAGATAATTCAAAAAGTACCTAGTTTGCCATCTACCTTATACCAAAATGTTTTTTTATCATACATTTTGCTTGTCATCATCACAACTTCAGCCTTATGCAGGAGTAGACTTTTTAACTGATTTCTCTTTGTCCTCACAGTCAAGTTGGAGGACAGATTGTACTCCCATGTAATCATCTTTTGTATTTTTTTCTGGTTTTCTAGTCTTTCTTTTTCCTGTATGACATGACTCTGAGGCAGTCAATAAAATTTTATTTGTCATCTCCTTGTTTGACCCTTTTTTTTCTTGCACTCATACAGAAAACAATCTCAATGTCACCTGAGTGCAACTGAGGAGAACTTAGTGGTTTTATTTGAAGAATACTCACATTTTGCTCAATCTGTCTTGATCTTGTCTGTTTGTACTACAATGTGTAGTCGTTTTGTTTGGCATTAAATTGTGCTGACCTTGCAAGCACCCTGAACAAACAAATTGATTTCACACTGTACTCCCTGATATAATTGTTAACATTAACACTTAACACTTTAACAGTTGACATTGACAGTAATGTTGACAGTAATGTCATAGAATTTTGACAGTCAATTAAAAGTAGTGCTAACAGGTGGTGAGAGGGCAATCAGATCATGAGGTTGATGATTGAGGAGCTGTCAATTGTGAAAATGGGTGTTATCCTTAGGAATAAATGGGAGGGCAAGTGTGTAGAGCAGAGACCTGTGGACGGTACCACTAATCATTGTAGAAAGTAGGCAAGCAGGGTGGAAGATTCAGAGTCACTGTACCAGTGCCTCTCTTGATGAGATTCTGAAAAGACACAAAAACAATCAGTAGTAGTGTAGTGACTTGTGAGCAAGACATGCAGAAGTTTTCTCATTTTGGACAATGTTGTCAAACTGCAAATGTCAGATGGGAAAGCAAGGTCACTATCTCACCACGACTCTCGCTCAGATTTTGTGGAAGTCCGTATTTGTCTTCAACATTTGAGATTCCATGTTGCCATCTACATCTAACACTAATATTATAATATGATACAATTGTCTCAATATCATGAAAGGAAAATCAATAAAGCATCAATGAGATCCTTCCAACCATTTCTATTATAGATCACAATTGGAAGTTCCTCCCATGGGGAGGACCACAAAAATTACTGCATTCTCTTGCACAGGAAGCTCATTAGGATTGGCTGTCCCTCACATGAGAGGATATGAGGACTGCAGATTATTTCTTTGCACTGTTGCAGAGCAAAACTTTTATATGTTTTATCCATCACCACAAACTAGAGCATCAGGTAAGGACCCTAAGTCCTTTAGGCCCCTAACCACCCATGTACACTCATACCTTAGCAGAATCCTAGACACTGATTCCCTGCTCACATCAAACAGAACTTCCCATACAAAGACTCTATCCAAAAACACCTTGTATTTCTGACCTCATGCTAACTTTGTTCTACATCTACTAACTACGCCATCAGGATTCGATCCCCTTTTGTAGTTGAAGACAGCCTTACAACCATTAAAGGGTAGCAAGTCTTTATAATATCATATCAGGAGTTATTTTTGATATCCATCCATACATGTACTTGAACACAAATTTCTCAACGAAAGCAGGCCACAGGTTCACCCCCTCAATGATCGCAAAGATCACAATGCATCACAATACACCCGCCAATGATACATAATTTGAAGTATCCTACATGTTTGTTTTCTTAGGTTTACAGGAAATGACACTACGCACATTTTTGAGAAAGAAGAACAAATAAATAATCTAGCTTAGTATTTGTCTCACACTGCAACAATCATCATTGATGTATCAAAAATAAGCTGTGACATCAAACTTGCTGCTGTTAATCTCTACAAGTGTCAACATCTCTCTCTCCACAATATTCTTACATGTGTTGGATTCTCAGAAAGTACTTTCTGGTGTGTCCATAAGCTTTGGTGGGAGACAGGTGACATTGTGAGCCCCACCTATAGCCTTCATGGGTGCCCTCATGTTCTCACAAGCTGGAAAATATTTATGTTTCCCTCAAACGGATCACAAAGGTGATAGGAAAGGTTATTTGTTCCTATGTATGTACAATTTATTTATTTATTCTTCTTGATCAAAAAGGTGTGTAGTGTCATCATTTATGCTGAGTACTCAAGCAATTAAAATGTATTGACAGACGATCATTTACAGTGGTGCTTGAATATTTAAAACTGTCAAAGCATTGAACTACTATGACATTATATAGAACATGTCAACTTAAATGAATTGTATGATGTTTGGAACACAGTTGCAAATGAGATTCATTGATAAATGAGGACAACAAGTATTGATACACCTCTATAGCTCTTCCATGGCAATGTGTGTGACAAAGCATGCATGGAAGCCATCATTTCGAGAAGACTGGATAGAATGTGAGCTGTGCCAACTAGTGCTACTCTGAACGCTGATCTTGTAAAGACTACCAGGTAATACTGGATATTGCTGAGAGTAGATGAGCCACATAAAAGAAATCTCTGTGAGGGATTAGCAGCAATTTGACGAGAATTAATTTTACATGCTCACATCACCTTTCGGGAACACATAGCCATAATATGGCAAGGGAAAGACAACAAAGGCACAAATAAATGCTAGACATACCAAAATGGCTGAATACATGACTTCATCTGCATGGTGTCGCGCAAAGCGCATCTGCCGAGAAAGATGTCATCAGTTTCACCTCGTCTTCCTTGTCAGCCAAATGCACTGCTCTGTTATAGGACACAATCAAAGAGTGTTCCAATGAGAGATCTGTCATCCAACATAAATCACATAAAAATGGCATATTACTTCAGTATGCATACCTCGATTAGCCCGCCAGAGCTTTATTACAGTCTCTCCCCCACAACCAATGGAACCGGTGGCAATCAATGCATATTTATCTCAATGGCATGTCTGTGGAATGATGAATAGTGAAACGACTAGTAAGATCTATCATGACTCACAGCTACGATTTGGACCAGATAATCTAAATTAACATCAGTGTGGGGGAATCTTGTTATTTGAATGGCTCTACTGCGTACCTCCATGAGTCAAGGATTGAAGGGGCTCAGCAGTAAACATTTCCAAGATTATAACCTCTCCGGATCCAGAACCACAGATGGCAGTCTCACCATTGCAGGCAAACACTACTCCTAACAGGAAGTTCCAAGTAGGTACAGTGACTTGGCGGTACAAGTGTTGTTTTTGTCAAGGATTGAAGCAGTACAAGGCCATGCCTTGCTGAGTATTGGACAATATAAGATACCAAAAAATGTACTTACAATCTACGAGAAGGCAATTTTGAGACTAGATATGATGGAAGGGATAACTCTAGTGGCAAGTTTCAAAAACAGACAATGGACACAACACGCCTGGGGAACATTTATATATATATATCTATTCTTGCGTAGATTCCTGGTCAGGCTGGAATATATACTAAATCAAATGGTGAGCTAGTTCATGCCCAGGCCCAGCCTACTCGTGGTCGTCATCATCATCGTCCAGAAACTCTCCAACGGGCATGCCCATGAACCTTGCCATCTCTTCTGTGATCATCGGTTCCCTAATGTGATGTTCAGCCAAATGAACTCGTAAGTAGTCTCTCAGCAATCCATCCACTAGTGGGTTGATTGTGATGGGCGGGATGTAGACACCAGGGGACATCAAGCGTTTTGTCACACGTTCCACAGCTGCTTTGTGAGCGTTGGAAAAAATTTCCTAATGTATTGTGGTAGTTGGTATTTGGGTGCAATTATAAGCTTACCTCCATGATTGGCATCCAATAAATGACCCATATGCCATCGGGTGGTGCTGATGCCACTGCAAATTGTGCCTATAGTAGGTTCAGATTGCACACTGGAACAATACTGATGACTCACAAAAGCATGGTCGCACGACTGGTTGTTTGTTGGGGGGCAGATGAACGGGCGGGTGGTGGGGGCATTGGGTATGCCTACAATAACACTCAGAATTGGCAACATCGCTTCAAGTTGTGATCAGTACAATTGTATTATCTCTACGAGTCCTTTGACTGTGAGTGCTTGAAGGGTGATTATGAGGGAGATTGTCGTGACTTTGGCTGCAATTGCCTGCATCATAGTTATGAAGTCGATGGTTATGAGACATTAGTAAAGGTATGAAACAGTAGCGAGACCAATCCATGTATGCCTTGTAACACATACTCTTAATCTGGTTTGCCATGTTGAGGCAACACGTCATATGAAGACTTGGAAATGAATTTGATCAATAGTTTGAAAGAACTTACATATGAATATGGCTTGTCTGTGTTGGTGGAGTGGTGTATCCACGACTGTGTGCCTGCGTGTCGTGAGCAAGGCAAGAAGTGGTGAAGAGCACTACTCTACGACAAAGCCCGAAGGACACTGAGTGGCTGACTAAGCTATGGTGCTACCTGGCTGCTACTCTACCCCTCGCCTAGGGGTCCCCCACTCCATCAGTTGGGGTGAACATATGAGGATTTAAAGCCCACCAGGACTCAAGTCGATTTTCAGACTCTCCAATTGTTCAAACATTGATATTTATCATTAGAATGAAGAAGAGATGCACTATTGTTCTTTTCACTATGTGCGAGATTTGTATAATTGCACTTCATTCCAGTGGTCATAGTTCCTATACCGACTCAAGGACCACCACATACGTAGTCCATGTCAACTAGTCGATTGCCAAGAAAATTGATAGTAGTAGATATGTTCACCAGTTATATATGTATGTGACCCTTATTCTAATCAATCTCTCTGATGGTAAGGATCAGGGGCCAAGTCTAACAGGAAAATGTTGTGGGCATTGCCACAACCTGATGTCTGGTACTGTTCATTGATTTTGGAAGCTGAGACTGCCTCGGACAAGAAGCCTTAGATAAAAGTCTTACATATGTCTTTGGGTAAATCATAGAGGATGATATTCAACCATTACTCAGGTTGGAGTAAACTAAATACATCTGACTGCAAGCCAATGTGTTATGGAAGAACAAGTACTGGTTTAAGTATATTTGAGAGTTACACATACTGCCTATCCCCATGGGCTCTTGCAGGTGTCTGGGAGAGTCTGACCAGTCATTGGTCAAACTGGAGTGAAGATATAAATAAAATGCCAAACTTACGTCTCAATTCATGGTGTGTGAGAGAAGTCATACTCGTCTTCAACAGCACCCAGTATCTCCTTGTCCTTTGAATCCAATCCTTCTAACCACCTCGGGTCATATGTGTTCTTAGGTAAGCGGGGGACAGCGCGGCCTCCACCGACTCTGGTCGATTCAAACTGCACACAGAAAGGATTACCCCGAACAGATCTGCTTGCAGGACTGTATTTGTTGTGGCAATACATTGCATCTATAATGTGGAGCCACCGTGTCAAGGCAACATTCCTCCATGGTTTCCGTAGGACACGGAATTGTGGCCTGCCATCTTCATGTGCCAATTCATCGCTGCTCATTCCATCAACTCCGAGATAGGAGAGTATATCCAAATGAGGGTGCAACTCTCCAACCTGTGCCACAGTGTTGAGGTGAATTTCAAAAAGCTGGATGATAATTAGTTGTGAGCTTAGTAGACTGGTCCCAAGTTGGGTTTGGCGCTTACCCCCCGCTTTTGTTCCCTCTTGCTCACTGCTTTCCTTTTGCTTTCTCTTGCTGACTCCTGCTTAGTTTCCAGTGCTAAACGCGACTTCAGACCCTTTATGTGAGTCAAAAATTTGTCCTGGACAAGCTCGTAGTCCTTGCAAATATAATCATGGTGTATGAAGTCTCGTGCAAAGACCTTAGCAGCGGACTTGTTCCAGGGAGATCAAGGATTTCCTCATATGTCAGTCTTGAAGTGTTCTGGTGTGCAGCAAGCAGGGCCACCTGATTGGAAAGCATTCACTGCAGGATTGTGGGCCTCGGTGATGCCTGTCCATGGCAAGTCGGCTGAAGGGTGATGCATCAATTTGCGCACATGCTTTTGAATCTGAGCCTGCGAGGGGTGAGCATTTTCATCATTTTGTTTTCTGAGAAAACTTACATTAAGTCTATGGTTGACACCTTGCTTATGCTTCCGTGGGCCTGTTTTCTTGAACAGCCTGGGGGGATACTCATCAAACAGATCTTCATTATCTCTGGATGTGCCTCCTCTTCATGCAGCATTTGAAGTGTTCTCGATAGCATGATCAAATTTTGTGTCCATATGATTGAGACACTCGTAAACAGTCATTATATTGTCCTTGGTTGCTGCAAATACTGTTGTCAAAGGTCAAGACACTGGTCTCTATATTGAGAATGGATGCGCCAGATGGATCATCAGATGGCAATGTCAATATAAAGGGCCGGAAATGACCAGAACCAGAAGATACCTGGGTACTAAGCTGTGGAATTGGGCACAGAAATTGTGAGTCAGAAGAAATGAGAGGCAAACGTCTACATGGGGCAAGAGGCAGGACATTAAACTCTCTTTCATCAAAACGTTCTCCAGGCGGCTAGATGTATAATATCAGACTTTTAGATCGGGGAAGATTCGGAAGTGTGCTTACCATGAGGCATCTCCTTTTGTGAGGGACCTCTCTTCCTAGCCGTAGGACCTTCTTCCTGGGAACCAAAGGTGTCCATCTTTGCAGGGCAAACTGCAACCTGGCTTTGTCCTCATCTTTGTTCTCATCAACCTGCATGTATGGATTACGGATTTGGTTTGATCTTGTCATGTTCAAAGGCCCAGTGATGTGGTGGCAAGTTGCCTCATCCTAAATGAGGCGCATGTCAGAGGAAGCGGAAACACATTAGAACAATCTCCAACAACCAACCGATTGTGTGATAAGTGGGTACACATTATTCTAGGAGTATATGTTAGCACACGTTGTATCTGGAGGGGCCAAAACCCACTTTTGCATCTATGTCACTGTCGTCTTGCAGGCATTCAACGACCTCTGCTTCAGCAGATGATTCATGTTCATCATCTGCAGAACTTCCATCAGTATAATTGTCATCATCAGATTGAGTGTTGCAGGCAAACAGCCCTCGCTTCCGGTCAGCACCACTTCAGTCAACCACTTGAAAAGACCTCTTAGGTCTAAATGTTTGTGGCTAGAAAAGGACCTAGTGGGTGTGCTTTAGGATGGTATTCCCAATAATTTACCCTATATGCCAGGATGTCCCAGACCACACTGGACCAAGTATCTGGGCTATCCCCAGTACCTATTTGTGATCTTTCCCAATCCCATCTGGGATCACTTTAGCATTTCTCTGGGACATCCCTGTGCATCTATTGTGTGGGCTTTCCCATCATAAATAGGAGTGACAGGGGTCCATTTTGAAACATTTTGGGACATTGAAATCTGCAATTTTTACATTGATTGGAGCAAGAAGTAGTAGGTATATATGTGTGTGCATGTCTAACAATTGAACAATTGGATGCCACAATAGCAACGAGAAGATACCTATATTTTCTTAACACAATCACATTGAAGGATTGACATGATGAGACTATACAAAAGTCTACATAGAATTATGGGACATTTTTTAAGCTCCCCATAAGGCAAACTAAGGGAGGAGAATTTCCTCAAAATAATAGTGTTGGCACAAATATTTGGCTGTCCTACTGACCCTCTCTACATCAGCTACAGTACTGATGCAATCAATTTGATGGCCTACTGTGACTATGACCCTGAACACTGATTTGGTAATACCATATTTTTCAACATTTTATCACAGCTACATGAAATGAAATAGAGTGCCAAAAGACTACAGAAAAATATTGTCCATTAAAAATACCAAAAGATTAAATTCAGAGACATATTTTACATCCATTCAGTAGCAACATTGTTTCAATGTCATCACCATCCAGACTCTCCTACCTAGCCTTCCATCAGTATCTGGGCTATCCCACTTACAATGTGGTCATCATCCGGGCTCTCCTGCCTGGCCTTCCATGGGTATCTGGGCTCTCCCACCCGGTCTTCCATGAGTATCTGGGCTTTCTCACCCATGATCTCCTTACCATCTGGGCTCTCCCGCTTGGCATTCCATGAGTATCTGGGCTTTCCCATCCATGATCTTCTTACCATCTGGGCTCTCCCGCCTGGCCTTCCATGGGTATCTGGGCTTTCCCATCTATGATCTGCTTACCAACTGGTGGGCTCTCCCACCTGGCCTTCCATGAGTATCTGGGCTGTCCCGCCTGGCATTCAATGAGTATCTGGGCTTTCCCACCTACCATATAATCACCATCTGGGCTCTCCCACATGGCATTCCATGAGTATCTGGGCTTTCCCACCAATGATCTCCTTATCATCTGGGCTCTCCCGCTTGGCATTCCATGAGTATCTGGGCTTTCCCACTTAGCTTTCTATCAGTATCTAGGCCTTTCCACCCATACTTTCCATATTAACTCGACTCTTCCATGACTGAGTGAACCAAGGTTCAGCTTGATGATAACCCAAACATTTCTGAGTGATGGAGGACAGGAGCAGAAAAGATTACAAAGAATGGAGATTTCAGCCAAGCAAAATCAATATTTGTCCAGTGAAATAGGGAAGCTTTACTTGTAGTTAGAAGCAAAAGGGGGGGCACTCCAGCAAAGCAAAATTAATTTTTGTGCAGTGAAATGGAGAAGCTTTACTTATGAGTTAGAAGAGAATGTGGGGATACTCCAGCCAAGCAAAATTAATATTTATGCTGTGAAATGGAGAAGCTTTACTTGTGAGTTAGAAGAGAATGCGGGAATACTCCAGCAAAGCAAAATTAATATTTGTTGCAGTGAAATGGGGAAGCTTTACTTGTGAGTGACATGAGAAAGGGGGGCAAGAGTGGTACAAGTTAATAGGCTTGACTTGTGAGTGACAAGAGGAATAGGACACAGTAAAAAGAATCATAATGTCATTTTGGGCCTATACCAGAGGCAATTACATCAATGCTTACTGACACATGAAATTCCATTGATATTTTAATAGAATGATGTACACACTATGTCTTACTTTGGAGTCTTTTCAAGTCACATGATGCACACATTCTTTTGCAGGGCGATGTTGAATTGATGGCAAGGTCGGGGGGCTCGGAGTGACAGCAGATTCATGATCACTTGGTAGCGTGTCTTGAATAGAGGCAATGTGACCATTCGGATGTGCTTCATGAACTGCTAATATATCTTCAGGAACAGATACCTTGAATTTTGTGGAGTCGACCAGCTTGCGTAGCACAACATCTCCGGCACTTCGTCATTGAGCTGATTGACACATTCTTGCACAATTGAAATCAGAAAACGAAGATATAATGATAACCTGGAGATCACATATCATCTGGCCAAGCTGCGAACTCGATCTCAGGTACATTGACATCTAACTCACTCATGACGTCTTCCACAGTGCGCTTCTGACCTCGGTGCTTGCCCTTTGACTTCTTTTTCCCTATCTCCAACAAGCTCTCAGCTTCAGTCCAGAATTCTGCCTCATAATAAGAATGTGCTTTGTGCTTGATAAAAGGAACAACAAGTAGCTTGAGGTGCTGTGAACTTAAGTTGTGAGGATTGAAATCGGGACCGATAGGGGGAACATCATCAGGCCAATTATTAATCATGAACTTGTACTAGAAAGCATAGTCAAGAAGCTTCCACCACTGGACTGCTTTGGGTCAATACCCAAACTTCGCTATTTGAGTAGACTCTGGTGAATCATTGAATGCAGACAAGCTTAAGTACTCACAAGTGTGCTCAAGTACCATAATTGGCCATATCCTCCTATAACAATTGCAGGGAGCTTTGTTTGGCTTTGAAAGTAGAATTTCATAAGCCCCTACTCCCCCTGTAAACTGCAGCACGGATATATTGTAGCCTTGGCTCTGCGAACAATATCAGGAGATAGGAAAAGTCAAGAAGAATAAGACACACTTCGTTGCGGTCACAACCCAATCTAAAATTGTGCAAGCATCCAGTTGATGCTCATTAATCAACTTGACTATGAAGTCAGAGCCTGCGACAAAGCCGGACGCCTGTCGAGCAGCCTTGTGTTGTGTTGTAACAAATATACAGCCGATGGCCTCAACTCCTTCAAGGCAAGAATAAGCAGATGAGTACATTGAGTCATTAGTTGTAACGTAGAATGTGCAAATGAAGTAGATGTGCCTTTCTTGCAATGTCCTCCCTCATCAACAAGATGGTCTTGGTGCGTGATTGATTGGTATTGCCACCAGTAACATTATAGTTGCAAATTGTGTTCCACTGTTCATTCTCCTTGCCCATCACATGATAATGTTTGCATTGATGTTCTTTCCAGTCAACGATAGCTGAGACTCTCGAGTTAGTATCATCTACACCACAGAAAGGGGGACTGACATGCTTTGTCCTTCCGAGGGTGATTATCCATGAACCAGCATTGGTGGGCATTCCAATCAGACTCTACTCGTGAATGCTTGATAGACAGGCCAGCCTCAATGAGAATAGTGTGCGCAGACTTGCCATACTTGGCGCCAATCACCCGAGCTTCTTCTGCTGTTTTCCATCCAAGTTCCTGAGCTTCATTGATGCCCTCTTGACATAGCTGGCCTCATTGCAAATGGCCTGAGAGTTCTTCTTCATTCTCACTGGCGTCGATGTCCGGCGTAGGGCCAAAGACTATACTGGCTGGAGCGGGGTTGTCATTTGAATGTGAAATAGATGCACGAGCATGCTTCGTGCGAATGGTTGTTGAGCGAGTAGTCTTTTGAGAAGTGTTGGCCAAGGTAATTTTGACTGCTGAAGACGTCTTCCTGCGCTTAGTAGGTGGTGAAGACGGACTGTCATGGTCGAGGTTTTCATCTGCATCTGACTCCTGGGTGCAAACTTGATTAGATGTCGCAGGGCCTTCACATTTTGCCTGGGAAGAAGTGTAGCTGCTATCCAATGAAGAGGTTTGAGGACCATCATTGAAATTGTAGATGGCCTTCTTGACCCTTTGGGGCCAAAGTCTCCTGGCTGCGCAGAACAGATAACTATCAGCCCTCCCCATTAAGAGAAAAATAAGACAGTACATACCTGGTGAAGTCTCGAGATCCTCGTTATTCTCGCCATCCTCAGGCTCTTCATTGGCATCCTTGGCATCGTTGTCGTTGTCGCTATCGCCTTCTATGTTATATTCATGGAGACAACTGTCAGCCTTCACAACCGTAGATTAAATGAGATATGATATACCTGGAGAAGTCTTTGCATGTACTGAGTCATCATCATCCTCATCTTTGTATTCATGGTCTTCGTTACCATTATCATCAGGAGCATCATTGTTGCTGTTGCTGTTGCCTTCTATGTTGTCTTCATGGTAACAACCGTCACCCTTCACAACCATAGATTAAACAAGATATGATATACCTGGAGACTGAGCATAGTCTTCAAAGGTCATGCTCGAGGAACGTCGGGGTAGAGGACGAGGTTTTGGCCAGTCACGGTCATCCGGAACAGGAGAGGGCTGAAGGATAGCACTTCTTTTTCGCTTATCATGTTGCTTAGCAGGGGGGTTGATAGCAATACCACTGCGTATGCGCATGACAGAGCTGGTGGGCACTGTGGGGCCTTGAGTGCCAGTATTGGTTGCACCACGACAGGCTGCATTTCTGGTGGAGGGTGCCATTAAACCGTAGATGGGCTTGTGGCTGAGAAAAGGGGTGCTTTTAATATGAATATTAAAAGCAGGCAGCTGATAAAACATGAAGTCTTACAGCTAAATTTCAAGACTCAAAGTCTTCACAGGATGATAGAAGAGTGTAGGAGACCTTTTAACACGAATGTTAAAAGCAGGCAGCTTATAAAACATGAAGTCTTACAGCCAAATTTCAAGGCTCGAAGTCTTGACAGGACGATAGAAGAGTATAGGGGACCTTGTTGGTTGCAAGTCAGAAGAAGAAAGATTTTTGGAAAAAATACACGAACATTGTGGATTTTAACTGATCGTAAGGCGCCCGATACACATCGAGAAAGAAAAATAAAAGAAATATTCCATAGCTATAATCCACACAATCGACACCGAAACAAAGAGGTTACATTGAAAGAACCTCATTAGAATAATGTAATATTCACCGCAAAGGATCACATACTAACTTATTGCGGAAGGTCCACATTAAGAAAGCTTCGAAGCTTATGCAAATGAGAGTCCAAATGGGTGATGGGGTGAAGATGAGCTTCTCTGGTGAATGGACATAGTGATGTTGAAACTTCTTCAATGCATGATTGTCGCTATGGCGCAAGTGCCAAAGCTATTTCGAAGGCAGTGAAGGGGTCAAGGTGGGCTTGGGTGAAGTCACTGTTCCTTGAAAAAATGATGGTCTATCACCATATACATAGGTATCGAAATTCAAGACTCCAGAGGTCAGAACTATTCAGGTGTGCAACGTCAGTCTCTGTAAGCCAGTAGGGAAACCACACGCATAGTTTAGATTAAATAAAATTGCACTGTACCAAATATTCTGATTGGGTGAGAGGGCGCAAATAAGAAACCTTCATTCTAGCACCTCTTTCCTAATACAGTAATGGCTGCTCACTGCAAACAACAGTGAGCACATGATTCTACTCAAAGAGGAGAATAAAGACATTGGCTAGATAATAGATAAAACGTGATACGTAGCGTTGGTGCCGACAATGCACCCTTGTACGGCAGTCAGCTGGCTTGAATACTTCATCACTCACGAGATGGCCGTCAAGGCCACACCACTGATCTAACCACACCCATCAGTCATGATTTTTCAGCTGATGGCTTTCCGTCACCCGTCCACAGCATCTACAATACAGTAGTCAGTATCTCATAGTTTAGGAGCTAGAGCAAATGCTACATTGGTCACCAATGAAGAATATGTTTTCTGGAGCGAATTCAATTGTCAGTGCCGACGTTGATAGGCCGAGTGCCCATCATGTAGACCACTTGCTGATAGGCTACTCGTGGAGCATGTCAGAGCTGCATAATCACAATGCGGATAAAAATGTAGTCACCTGCTCTGAATTCAACTTCAGAGGATTATTCCACTTCACAAACTGGTAGTGTCAGTCTGTGACTGTCGCCGTCGCCAAGGTTTGTTTGCTGATCTATGTTCTCGTTTGTTTCCAAAATGTACATGCTCCCTTCCTTGGCATGGATGGGTACGAAGACGCTGCTATACAACTTGATATTAAGAATGCCCAAAGTGCCGAGCCGACTTTATCATAAGTAAGGTATCTGGCATGCAGACTTGGAGGATGCGCCGATGATTATCTGTTGTAAGTAGAATCAATACAAATTATTTGAGGTATTCAAAATTCCTGCAGACGATAAATCAGAATAAAATTGCAGGACACGCGCCTTCACAGAAGATGAATGGATATTGGTGAAGTTTTGAGTCACAAAGGACAATCTGACTTGTAGTCAGACAGCGGAAAGTCACCCAGACAAAGTTTGTCTGCCTCAAAAGCAGACCATGTGATGAGGCTAGTCGATGAGGTGGAGATAAGGGCAAACGATGAGGATGTTGATCGAAATTCCTGTAGACAATCAATTAGAATAATATTACTGGACATGCACCTTTGTAGAGGATGGATGGATATGGGCGAAGTGTTGAGGTAGGTAGGTCAATCTGACTCGTAGTCAGATAGCCAGGTAGCGCTGGATGACATGAAGTCACCCAGGTCAAGTTGGTCTGCCTCGAAGGCAGACTATGCAATGAAGCTCAGACCATGGGGGCAAACAATGAAGTGCAGATGAGGGCAAACAATGAGGTGGAGATGGGTGCAAACAATGAGGAGGTGATGAGAAAATTCTGACAAGTCAGAACATAGTCACAGAATTTGCAATGAAAGGCTCGTATCTAGGTGTCTAGAACACTTGGACTTCATAAGATTGCCAAATTCAGAAGTTGAACAATGGGCATTCCCAGGCCTTTACCTAGGCATTCCAAGACTGTACAAGGGCTTTCCCACACCGTCAAAGTGGGGACTTCACACTTTGAATCACGCCAAGCTCCTTTCCTCATCACCACTCTCAACTTCATCCTCGCCACTCAACTTCATCCCCCGACCTCTACAATCTGCCTTTGTGGTAGACGCACTGTGAGCAGCAACTTTGTGTTGCTTGCTGCTATTGATTGCTTAGACTTTGGTCAGCAGTCTTGTCTTCCACTAGGCAGTACCTTGCTACCACCACCATTGTCTCTAACCGCCACAACTGTGTTCCACAATCAGTTGTGTCCTCTATTGTGAGTATTGTCTTGCTGCCGCCACCACCACCATTGTCTTCAAGTGCCAGTGTTGTTTTCCACAGCCAGAACTGCATTCCACAACTGGTATTGTTGTCCACAGTAAGTATTGTCTTCCACACCTAGAATCATCTTAAACTGCCAGAACTGTCTTCAGCCACAAGAACTACCTTCAACATTTTGTCTCACTTCACTGATTCATTGCACGCTGTTACTGATATCCAGATTTTGTTCAAGACTGCTGTTGGCCTTCACAGGTAAGTACTTGATTTAATTTGATCACGCTATCATGACTGACATCGGGTTTCTAACCAGACTCTTCCTCGCTCAACACTCCTGTTGTTGTTCATGGTAAGTTTCACTATTATATTGGTTCGTGCTATAATTACTGACTTCACACCATCATCAGATTTATCTCCAATCTCTCAAGACCATCTTACTATCTGCCTTCATGGTAGCATTTAGATCATCAGTGACTTCAAGTCGCTGTGTGTTTCCCTATTCTCGAAATTACGGTTCCTGGAGCTACTATCATGTCGATCCCTGTCTTCAAACCATTCATGCGCAATGGTGACCATGCATTTGGGCATCTTCATACCTCTACTGTCCTTGACTGACGATGTCCAGGTTACCTCACTGCCACTGATGCTTTCTGTGTGGCTACATATGGCCACCGAGTCATCATGACTCCCAACATGAAGTTCATTCCCCAACCCTTTGACCACGAATCCGACATAGTGCAAGCGTGAGCGGATGGCAGTTATTGGGCCATGGATCCCTTTCAGTGGCCACAGATGTACAACGACTTGTATGCTAGGGGTTTTGCAATCCCATACCGGGAAGCCTATATGGATGACGCAAGCATGATGTACACGTGGTTCAGACCAACTTTCTCCAGTGACTTCATGCCCCTTACTCCCAGTAGTCTCTTTGGTCAGCTCAAGACCGACATTGTTGGCCATCTCAAGTGATTGCAGGAGAAGGCCAACAAGTGGGTTACCAGTTACAAGGTTGCAAGGATGCATAAGGAGGATCATGTTGTTGGGTGGGTACATGCAATGCGCGCTGTATACGAGCGTTTCCAGCAAGCCATGGCCTGGCGCGACATCATCATAATTGTTGCTGAATATTAGCACCGGTTTCTTGATATCTGGGCAGTTCTAGACTACTACGAAATCATTGAGCCCTGCATGCAATTTGTCAACACTACACACAAGGTTGACACTAAATGGATGGGTTGTTTTACTCAAGATGTCACTGTTGCCACGAAGGTGCACACTGCTGGAGGTCCTGTTTAGCTTATCCACGATGCCAGACTCATCAATTCCAACATGAACATCATCAAAGTCGTTTGGTTCACACCACCCAAAAACCTTGTCATCAGCATGTACCACGATCCTGTCAAACTCTTTGCCCAACCATTTTACATCATCATTGAAGGTCCCAATAATCGCTGGCGTCATGAGGCCGCTCGTCAGCCATATTCTAAGTTTGAGGCACTGCCAGTTCCAAAACCCCAAGTGGAACTGGTCACGAGGGTGTCATCAGTAGGGAAGGCTCATGTAGACAAAGGGAAGGCCGAAATGAGGGCCAACCTTGCGCCATGTAAATTCAGCACTCTTCTTCCATGGTTGCCGTGTCTAATTAATTCCTCAGATGATGCAACTGCTCCACGTCAGAATAAAGCTGTGTCTGGCCATGACAAGTAGTCTGACATCAGCCACCCTTACATGCTGCCAATGAATTCCTTCTTCAAAATAGCATTGGAGGAAGTGAAGAAAGAATTCCTCTGTATCAAACATCCCAGAGACCAAATGGATGATGGATACCCGCTTCCCGATCCAGGATTATTCACCAATGTTCTTTCCCTGCAATCCTTAATGAAGCACCTGGCCAACTGGCTGGCATGCTACCCAAGCTGGCTAGAATGTGTCTACGAAGAAGGCCCTCGACCTCTTCCTCGTGCCCAGAACTGGCGTAATTTGCTGATATCTCAGCATGCTCAGTGTCCTTCAAGCACACAGACATCCAGCAAGACTAGCAAGTCGAAAGCGGCTACTGCTACACACTTCCAAAAGGACATTACGGTACTGTAGGCCTTGTGGGCAGGCCCCACAAGTGTTCTTTGATGCAGAAATGACGTCACCATTTCCACTCTCGACAATCTCCCCGCAGATCTTGCACGCCAAATCATGTACAAAATCTGCAAGCAAAGCTTCCGATATGAACTTCTCGGCTTGGACGAACATCTTGGGCGTGAGGCATGTAAGGACAAGGAGGCGAGGAAGGAAAGGATGGACCTTCTTCGCAGCATCTTCCCATCGAAGTCATTGAAAGTTTGGAACAGGGACTTGCCTAAAGAGAACAATGGACTCAATGCACCATCTTTCGACGCTGCCTTACCATACTTCGAAAGTTTCCACAAGGTGTTGTCAACGTGGGAGCACTTTCCCGAGTCCCTCAAACAACCTCTTGACACTACTGGACATGAGCACGATATATGGAATGGGATGAAGGAATGCTGTCTCTTCTACGTTCAGTCTTATTTCAACAATACTGGCCGTCCACCTATTGTACCTCATTTACTGTATTTGGTCGCCTAGATCTCAACATCATGCACCCATTTCCCATTGCAATCATTGTACTTTTACATATTTAATGAACATATACCCAATAGTCAATAGTTTGTATACCATCACATGTTACCAATACAGTTTCGGTCTTAAGTGGACTTTGTCATGGTCAAACACATTATCTTAGGAATCAATGTTTATTTTGCGCATACCACTAACATCTCAGTTTCACAGAACAGAGTGTACATGAACAGGTAGAGTTCTTTCCTTCACATTTGCTAACTCTCATCTGCTCCAAAGGTTCATTGACATATTCGCTCACTTTATCTTTGTATTCAGCGCAAGCTTGGGACTTCGTGTCAACGCTGACCTTAGTGCGGGCTTCGTGCTTGCCTTCAACTATCTCATAGTCGACTTCGTGTTGACACTAACCTTAGTGCGGACTTCGTGCTTGGCTTGTTATGGCTGCATCCATCCCTATCGCTGGGCCATCCACTCCATCCCCTCACAATACACAGCACAGACTCATCACTTCTTCAATGGTGAAGAGGCGGTGACCGCATCAAACCAGCAACTTTCACCTTCCTATAGCCCCCCCCACTACTCATACTTCCCGGAAGAAAACGCCTCACACAACAATTACTCAGTGATTCAGGAAGGTTGCAGCAGCAACAGCCTTGGGGGGATGCCAATACTGCTAACCAGCATGATACCCCGCCAACTGCTGGGAATCTTTTAGAGCATCAAGAAGAAAGCTCGTCTTTTCACAACTCACTACACTACATCTTTAATGCCAATTCACACCCACCTTCCCGTTCGAACAGCCGCCAAAAGAAGATAAATCAGTGGCAGCACTGGACAAACGAAGTCATTCCTTCCCTGATCACTCCATACCTTGTGTACTTGCACAAATCGACCTCTCTTCGTGATCAAATTGGACTGCAGCAAGATCAAGTTAATGCCTTTCAGTGCAAATCCTCTTGTCGACGGAGAACTCTCGAGATCACTTGCATACTCTTCAATCATAAATCTCTCTTATTACCTGAGTTATTAGTTGGCTGATAATATTGTAGATATTGACATGTTGAAAATTGATTGTTGCACTTGCGCACCTGCTCCCCTTCAGCTCCTGGCTCGCGGTTACTTTTCCTGCACACCTATTGCCCCTTCCCTCGCTGTCGACCTTCAGTTGCTGGAACTTGTCAAGACTTTGTTTGTGCATATCACTCCCAACACAACTGCTTGGTGTGCAACACTCAAAGTCTTTCTGACTGGCCACAGATATCACCTTACCACTAAGGTGAGTCAAGTGCCCGCATTGAGTTTTGGTCATGTGGATCAATATTATTATAGGATAATCTTTGTTGTTGATTCGGTAATGCCTATCATTGGTACTCTGTACTCTGCATGAGTGCTGAGGACCACTTGTCCAATCTCATTGGAACTCATCGCCCACTTTCACCACCATCGACCGAGGGACTAACATGTCCAAGTGACTATCTAAGGTCTCGCTGTCCGATTTGTTTTGGCTTGGATGATTGGCAAAAAAGCGGAACCCTTAATCTCCAGTAAGTTGTTTCAATATCAGCAACTAAATTAATTCTAAAGTATATATAATAGACCTGACATCCATACTTGTATACTGACTACAACCTTTGTCTCATTGAAGAGCGCGCGCAACAATCAAGAGTTGCAGATACTTTGAGCCGCTAGAAGACAAGACTTGGCATTAGTCAGTGCACCCATCTAGACCAACTACGTCGCAATGTATATCTAGAAGTCCGTTTAGACGCTCAAGCTCTTAAGACGCGTATCCGTGAATGACTTCGACAGCATAAGTTTGAAATTGAGAAGCTTGAATGCTCTTACAGGCAAGCTGTAAACGGTACTTATGTCCTAAGTTGCACACATGGACTTCAACTGATTGTACTTTCTTGTCGTAGAGCACAAGCTTAATTCTCATGTCGATGCCGCAATTCAGTGATGCAATCCTACAATACAAAAACTTGTGTCCTCATACAACAGCTTATGTGCGGATCTTGGTGCTCTTATCAGACAATGCCGCGGTCCTTCAAATGCTATACCACCTAACCCTATCTCTCCTACTGGTATCTTTGATCTTAATATTGATGCTGATATTTGGCAGGATATCAGACTCAATGATGTTGTGCTGGAACCCCCTGATTGGTTAGCTGATGAGGTCACTCGTGCTGTGATCAAACTGTTGCTTGAGATTGACCGGTGCAATGAAGTCGTGTGAAGGTTGAGTGCTGCGCTCTGCAGGAGTAGGCCATTATTGAGTGGGATGCTCTACAGAGGGCTTGTGCACATGGAAGTAAGTGTTTGTCGCACCTCACTAATATTCCATGCTGACTTTTGAAGGTGATAATGAAGTAATCCTCTATCACCTGGATTGTCATGCTCAACAGTTCATTGACCTTGTACTCGGGTGGCAGACGAAGGTTCCTCCCATTCCATGTGCGTGGCCTATGCCTGACTGCTGGGGGCCATCACATGCTGAACTTGCTAATGGAGCACATGTGGTGTACCCTGATGTCCATGGTGACGAAGATGATGTATGGGAGGATGGAGATGACTGGGAATCAGACATTGGGTGTGGTGATGGGGAGCTTATGGATGTCTTAGAAGATATTGCATTGACAGATCAGTATAGAGGGCATGAGGTACATGATATTGAAGGTGACTATGTAATTAATGACCAGTGATAAACAGCCCAACAAAACATGTTAGATATAGTTTGTAGTACACCAGTTGATCTACACAAATTGACTGTTCTTCTGTGTTGACAATCAAAATCTTATGAGTAAAAACATAACTGGTACTTGATACCAGAAAGGTGACGGGCAAGAATGACTCCCAAATAATAAATGTGTACATCATTCTTTTTAATAACATAACTTCATTCCACTGTGACCTTTGCTATGGTTATACCCCCTTCCTCTCATAACTCAGAATCAAAGCTCTCCCATTTCATTGCATATGACAAAAAACTTCATTCCTCTGTAATCCTGTTTTCTCTTCTAACTGACAAATAAAGCTTCCCCATTTCATCACATATACACTTCACTGCATAAAATTCCATTCCTCTGTAACTTTTGCCACTCTTACCCCCCTTCCTCTTCTCACTCACAAGTAAAGCTTCCCCATTTCATCACATCAAATTTCAATTGTGCTTTGCTAGAGTCTCCCCCCTTTCTCACATAACTCACAAGTAAAGCTTCTCCATTTCACCGCATCAAATTTTAATTGTGCTTTGCTAGAGCATCCCCCTTTATCATCTAACTCACAAGTAAAGCTTCCCTATTTCACTGCACAAATATTGATTTTGCTTGACTAGAGTATCCCTGCATTCTCTTCTAACTCACAAGTAAAGCTTCTCTATTTCACTGCAACAAATATTACTTTGGCTTGACTGGAGTATCCCCCCTTTTGCTTCTAACTCACAGGTAAAGCTTCTCCATTTCACTGCACAAATATGAATTTTGCTATGCTAGAGTATCTCTCCTTTCTCTTCTAACTCACAAGTAAAGCTTCCCTATTTCACTGCACAAATATTAATGTTACTTGGCTGGAGTACCCCCCTTTTCACTTCTAACTCACAAGTAAAGCTTCCTCATTTCACTGTGGGAAAGCACAGTTGGTGATGACATGGTAGGTTGGAATCCCAGCTACTGATGGGAGGCCAGGCGGGAAAGCCCAGATACTGATGGAAGGCCAGGTGGGAGAGCCCAGATGGTAAGGCAATCATGAGTGGGAAAGCCCAGATACTCATAGAAAGCTAAGTGGAAAGGCCCAGATGGCAAGAAGATCATAGGTGGGAAAGCCCAGATACTCATGGAATGCCTGGCAGGTGGGAGATCCCAGATGGTAAGGAAGTCATAGGTAGGAAAGCCCAGATACTCATGGAATGCCAGGCGGGAGAGCCCAGATACTGATGGTAGGCCAGGTGCAACAGCCCAGATGGTGATGACATTGAAACAATGTCGCTAATGAATAGATGTAAAATATATCTGTAGTCTTTTGGAGCTTGATTTCATTTCATATAGCTGTGATAAAATGTTGAAAACATGGTATTGGCAAACCAGTGTACAAGGTCATAGTCAAAGTCACAGTAGGCCATCAAATTGATTGAATTAGTACAGTAGCTGATGTAGAGAGAGCCAGTAGGACAGTCCAATCCTATTGTTCAAATATTAGATATTTACACACATATATACCTACTACTTCTTGCTCCAATCAATGTAATCACAGTAGGCCATCAAATTGATTGCATTAGTACTGTAGCTGATGTAGAGAGGGTCAGTAGGACAGCCAAATATTTGTGCCAACACTATTATTTTGAGGAAATTCTCCTCCCTTAGTTTGCCTTATGGGGAGCTTAAAAAATGTCCCATAATTCTATGTAGACTTTTGTATAGTCTCATCATGTCAATCCTTCAATGTGATTGTGTTAAGAAAATATAGGTATCTTCTCGTTGCTATTGTGGCATCCAATTGTTCAATTGTTAGACATGCACACACATATATACCTACTACTTCTTGCTCCAATCAATGTAAAAATTGCAGATTTCAATGTCCCAAAATGTTTCAAAATGGACCCCTGTCACTCCTATTTATGATGGGAAAGCCCACACAATAGATGCACAGGGATGTCCCAGAGAAATGCTAAAGTGATCCCAGATGGGATTGGGAAAGATCACAAATAGGTACTGGGGATAGCCCAGATACTTGGTCCAGTGTGGTCTGGGACATCCTGGCATATAGGGTAAATTATTGGGAATACCATCCTAAAGCACACCCACTAGGTCCTTTTCTAGCCACAAATGTTTAGACCTAAGAGGTCTTTTGAAGTGGTTGACTAAAGTGTACCTTCTAGAGCAATTCCAGGACAGACACCATATGAACTAGCCAACAAATCTAAACCAAATTTAGCAACTGCACATGAATTCAGAACAAAGGTTTATATCCACTCACCAGAAAACAGGAAGCTCCAGACACGACAGAAAAGACCAAGTTGTGATGGGAAAGGCCACATGCACTTATGGGAAGGACCATTGATACTTTTACACCTATAGATAAAGACCCAGGTGTTGTGAGGATGGTGGTCAACATTAAATTAGCTATGTAAAATCTATATGCAATACTAACTGGCAGGACATCTAGTAGGGGAGGATGGCATAAAACCATCTTTGATGTCATCTAAGTCATCATCAGAGTCTATATCATACCTATACTCATCCACCAATGCAATGTCTTCAATCACATCCATCAGTTCATTATCTCCAATCTCACCATAATTCAAATCTCCCTCATCATCCTCTTCCCCAGGTCCTACACTCTGGTCATCCTCATCCTGAAAAGAAGGCTGCACCTGTTCATGGGTAGCCTGAAGCAAGACTTCATCTGAAGGTCCCCACCTGTCCACAACTGACCAGGCACATGGGATACACTGAACATTTCTTTGCCAAGCAACACAGATGTTGACAAGCCCATCCGCACATGATGTGAGGTGGAAAGTTAAAACAACATCCTCTGCTACAATGCGAATTAAGAACAGACATGACATAGGGTCACAATCACCCACCTGCATTTGTCAAGGCATCCTGTATACCCTCCCACTCTGTCAACATCCACTCCTGCATAACAGACTGCTTGCACATCAGTCGAGCCTCCTCCTTGAAGCAGCAATCCACTTCAAGTTGCAAGCAGATACCATTTCTGATGGCCTCGTCTGATAACCACGCTGGCGGGTTGATGGTGGTGTCGTCAAGTTCAATGTCTTCATCACGCTGGAGTGGGGCACCCCCTAGGCAAGGGGTTGCAGAGGTAGGGGTTTTCCGGAGGTTCAAGTAGCTTAGTCAGCCCAAGTGTGCCATTCAGGGCATGGCAGTAGACACAGACTTCATCCCATTCAGGTGCCTTGCACATTCACTGAAGCTGGAGCAACCACTCCATTGTGGTGAGGGTGGGATTTGATCTTTGCATCAGCATATATCTGCTTCCTGCATCAGAATTCTTATATTCCATTAAATTGGTCCAAAAAACAATGATTGGTTGATACAACGTTACAGCATTGGAAATGTCAATGACCAAACATCAACACACACATGTAGAACACATTCCATTACTATTGTCTTGGAAAGAACGATAAAAAACAATGTCAAAGATGCCCCCCAAAGTCCAAAAGCAACCAAGAAGTGCAAAAGGACAATTCATCTCAAGAAAAAGCCTAACTAGCCTCCCTGATGCCTCTTCCTTGAACACATCAACTGAATCCTCCCCATTAGACACCCAGAACTTAGATCTCAAGAGTTAGCATGGAACAGCTCAGATCAAGAAGACTCAGAATACGAATCCACTGAGGTCCAGCGACAGTTAGATCAGAATGACGAGGAGGACGTAGAATCCTTACAAGGCACACCAGATCCAGAATGAACCACACTCCCCACATTTGACACGCAATCAGCACAGACCCTATTCCCATGGCCAAGCTGACAACACCACACACGTTCACTAAAATGCAACCAACAGTGACTACAATCAACCCCCTGTTAGAAGCCAAGCACCATTACCATCACCAGCAAAAAGACGTTAGCAATGTCTAACAACACACCCAATTGGTTTCATGGAAGACCCGATGAGAACACGCAGAATTTCCTCAAAGAAGTAGAATGCTACATCTTGTTCAGTGACCTGAAAACAGATGGAGGAAAAATAATGGTGTTCAGTATGCTTTTATCTGCAGGATCCATAGCAGACACATGGTGGAACAAGCTGGACAGCATGCAGAAGACAACTTGGGTAGACATGAAGAAAGCATTCACGACCAGATGGACAAGGATTGCCATCATGAAGAGACAGGGTTAGACTATCAATGGGAGATACTGCCACTGCGCCTAACTAACGAAGAAGTAGGAATGCAAATCATGATAGCAGGAGTCCCCACATGGTCGCATCTTCAATTTCATATGAGTCTCCATCAACTAGTCAATGAAGCTGGGACAGCAACCATAGCTGGGCTCATCTACCAAGTCCGAGAGAATTTACCAGTGGTGATGAAGGAACTTACGACACCAGGACTGGCAGACTGTCATATACCATATTCCCGGGTAAAGATCCGAAGATCTGATGGACATATCTGTCATCTGGTCCACAGATCCGATCTAATCCTTATTTCATGTCCTGTTCATATAACTCTAACTATTGTTCATCTCCTTTAGGCATTCCTGTACACCAGTGAAGGATCTTCAACTCAGCTGAGGGTGCAGCTGATATAATTGTTGAAGGGAGGAAAATATGAGTGCGATATGTTCGTCCCTTAGGGGAAGCGGAGAAAGCAAATATCCACTGGTCAACTCTAGGGGGAATGCGCAAAGCGCGTGATAAGGCGAAAGCGCGGGAACAAAGGCGCTATAGGCGCGCGAAGCGCGGGAAAGTCGCGCGTCGAAAAGCGGAACTGGGTGAAAGCGGTATGCGAGCGATAGTGAGATGTTAAGACGTGTACTGAGATGCTGATAAGACAACTGATGCGGATATGGCCACTAGAGCTAACTGCTACTAGGGCTTGCTGTCATATACCATATATCCGGTTACAGATCCGATGATCTGGATCCGATCCAGATCCGATGAACATATCCGTCGTCCGGTCCACAGATCCGCTTTGATTCTTATTTCATTTCCTGTTCATATAACTCTAACTATCGTTCATCCCCTTTCGGTATTCCTGTACACCGGTATACCGGTTATCCTTTACTTCCGCTTTGCTTACTGATCCGCTACACTTACGAATCCGCTTTTACTTGTACTTCATTCCCGGTTCATGATTCGTGATCCATCCAACTTACCAATACGCTCCACTTAGACTTTGCTTATACTTTCGTACATAGCCTCGCACCTTTGCTTATTGATCATTCCATTAGCTATCCGTAGTATATAAACCTTTGTATATGCGCTGTAGTAGATCAGTTCAAATATCATCTTAGATTGCACTCATTCCGTCTGGACTCTGAGTCCCTCCGTTATCCATCCGGACTTGAGTACGCTACTCTTGTCTACTCCGAGACTTAGGATAGATTCCTATAGTCTACATATCCGCCTCTGTCTTCGGACAGTCCTCACCCGTTAGTTTCTAGTCCGGATCCGATCCGGATTGGCCGTTACTCTATATACGCGATACTTTAGCTCTCTGAAATAAGGGGCAAGACTCGGGAAAGGGGCACAGCGCACGAGCTGAGGCCGAAGCCCTTCGGATCCGATACTACTTGAGTACGGTCTTAACACTTGCGATGATTTATTCAAAACATAATAAAAACTCGGAGATGGTGACTGTCTATGATGATGGTGGTCCGTGGTAATGTGTGTTGTGTAAAGTAAAAAAAAATGTGTAATGAAAAATGTGTACCAAGTGAAAATAAACATGGTACGATGTTGAAATAAATGATAAATGGAGAAATGCATACCTGGGAACTTGGTTGGACATGGGAAAACACAGTGGGAAGTCAGGCGCCCTATGGCGCTTAGGCGCGGGAAAATTCGCCTAAAGCGCGCGCAAGTCGCGCAAGTGTCGCCTATGTCGCGCACGTCGTGTGAACGTCGCGTTTATCGCGCTAGTGTCGCGTTGCATGCATAGTATTGTAGACTCGACCTACAGTGCAATATATGCCATTGTGAGGCTACTCAGGATCGAGTCTCTACATCTCCTGGGGGCTTAAATTCTGAGTGTCCCCACTCAGTGCATCATGTGGTGGACAAGCGAAGTTGCAATGAGGGTATGTGATGAGAGAGGAGTGTGATGCGAGCGTGTCTGATGCGAATGTCATGAGGCGAGACTGGCGTAGCAATGGCGCGCTAAGCGCGGGAAAAGCGGAGGCGTAAGGCGCTATAGGGGCATGAAAGCGCGGTATAGTAGCGCGCGTTGCATGCATAGTATTGTAGACTCGACCTACAGTGCAATATATGCCATTGTGAGGCTACTCAGGATCGAGTCTCTACACCGGTATACCGGTTATCCTGTACTTCCGTTATGCTTACTGATCCGCTACACTTACTGATCTGCTTTAGCTTAGACTTCATTCCCGGTTATGATACGTTGTGGGTAACACAACAAAGGTGAACGCAAGTCAGATGACAAGCAAACACTCTCTATGTTGGGTCTTGATATGCCGTGCGATATGTTCGACCCTTAAGGGAAGCAAAGAAAGCAAGGATCCACGAAATGATGCTGATCAACCCTGATCAAAGGCGACAAAAGGGCGATGTAAGCGCGAGAAACGCGCTCAAGGCGCGCGCGGGAAAGTGAAACGCGAAAAATGCGCGAAGTGCAGGAAGGCGAAAGTGCGAAAGGGCAAAAATGCGCGGAGAACAGGGATGGTAGTGCGAGCAGCGCACAAGTGTAGAGAGACAATAATATGGTGAAAAGCGCGGATATAGATGGCTACTGATACTGCCACTAGCTTTAGACTGATGCTAGGGCCTTAAGACGATGACGGATGCATGCATTGCATGGAACTAACTGCCAAGTACATGGTGGTAGAAAGATGTGGTAGGAAGCTGAGGTAGGAAGCTAAGGTGTCCAAACGAACATGAAAGTATGTAAGTTCTACCTAAGCGCTCTCCCAGGGCTCGGAGCCGAATAGGGAGCGCTCTAAGTATGTAAGTGAGGTAAAGTGATGTAAAGTAAGGGTGCATAACGAAATACACAGCGTAATAGGCTAAATATGGTCTGATAATGAAAAGGGACACACCTAGGAACTGGTTGGACGATGGATGGATGCTCCTGGATGATGCATGATGGAGTGCGCTTAAGCGCGAGAAACGCGCTAAGCGCGCGCGCGGGAACGCGAAACACGAAACGCGAAAGCGTGAGAAAGTGTTGCGCCTATGGCGCGTTTTGCAGGAGAGCTGTGCATTGTATGCGCAATGACTGGAGACACAGCAGAAGTTGCGTATGGAGTAGGGTGACAAGTGCAAGAGAAATGTGCTAAGTGCATGCGGGAATGCTGCGCGTTGTGTGGGAAAGTAGCGCGCCTATGGTGCGTTTCACGGGAAAGCTGCACGTTATGTGTAAAACAACTAGAGACATGATAGAAGTCGAATATAGCTGATAGTGCAAGTTGTGCATTGAAGGCCAATTGTCATGAGTTGTGAAAAGGTGCGAAATGTGCCCATATGTGCCTGCAGAAACGCAAGTCTCTACAACGTTATCTGTCCGACTTACCAGTACACTGTACACATACTTTGCTTATACTTCGTACATAGCCTCGCACCGTTGCTTATTGATCATTCCGTTAGTTATCTGTAGTATATAAACCCTTGTACATGCGCTGTAGTAGATCAGTTCGAATATCATCTTAGATTGCACTCATTCTGTCTGGACTCCAAGTCCCTCCGTTATCCGTCCGGACTTGAGTACGATACTCTTGTCTACTCTGAGACTTAGGATTGATTCCTATAGTCTATATATCCATCTCTGTCTTCGGACAGTCCTTGCCCGTTAGTTTCTAATTTGGATCCAGTCCGGATTAGCTGTTACTATATACGTCCAATATCCAGAAGCCTTAATGGATCTGTTACGAGACTTATCCGTCTCAATATATATGATACTCTAGTACCCTGAAATAAGGGGCAAGACTCAGGAAAGGGGCACAGCGCACGAGCTGAGGCTGAAGCCCTTCAGATCCGATACTTCTTGAGTACGGTCTTAACACAGACTGGGACAAGTTCCTGGAGGAGATTGAGAAGATAGACACGAATAAACTCCAAGAGATAGCAGAGGCAGCATGAA